TTCTGAAACTTCTTGTCCACGTGCGGGTCGAATCAGAAGAAATCTAGTGCAGCGTGCGAAGCAGTATAGGTGTGATCCAATCAGAAGTCAACTGAAGGGAGATCGTTGCGTTGAACAGTGTTCATACTTTCCTTGTGATTGCATTTTGGAAGCAGAAAATCCAACTGTATTTGAAGGCACTTCATGCTATTTTTCAGGAACAGTAATTGGTGCTCCGGTCTAGTGGCCTGTGTTTAACTTGTGCCCTGAACACATCCCTAGTGAGAGGTGATCGGCACTCTGCTGTATTTATTGTGCCCTGAATTTTGTGATGGCGAATCCTGCGGCTGGGATGCCTGATCCTCGATTTCTGGCTGATGTATTCCGTCGCGTGGACAGAGATAATAGCGGGGCAATATCTGCCGAAGAACTTCGCTCGGCTTTGTCAAACGGCACGTGGACTCCCTTCAGTGCAGAGACCGTCCGCCTTATGATCAACATGTTCGACCACGACCGCTCCGGCACAGTCAATTTTAACGAGTTTTCTGCGCTTTGGAAGTATGTAGTGGATTGGCAAGCGTGTTTTCGTAGTTTTGACCGCGACAACTCCGGCAATATCGACGGTGCTGAGCTCAGGCATGCGCTTACGACGTTCGGTTATCGATTTCAAGATTCTTTCGTTGACGTTCTTGTGAGCAAGTTTGATCGCCAAGGTCGCCGCGTGATTTTCTTCGACGACTTTATTCAATGCTGCGTTATGTTGCACATTCTTACTGCTGCCTTCCGGCAACACGACACCGATCTGGATGGTGTCGTGACGATCACCTACGAACAGTTCCTTATGATGGTGCTTTCTTGCAAAGTTTAAGGCGCTTTTTGTTTTGTCAGACTAAGGCTTTTTTTTTACTATAGCGTTGCCTCCAAAGTCGAGATGCTTGAGGTAACGCTCCAAAACGTCATGCGTATTGGGCACTTGTACCGAATGAAATCTTTGAACCTGATTAAATCTACTTTATTCATTAACCAAGCACCGCACTATCGATGCGTATGTTTCTTCAAGATGTAGCTGCTTTTTTCTGGGAAATGAGAGCGATATTCTCCCTGTAGCTTTGCTTACTTATGCTCTTCATTGTTTGATACCGTACTTGTCCGAAAATGTAATGTTTTCGGCTTTATTTTCAGGAAATTGTTTATGGAAGGATGTGATAGCTACATATTCGCTCGAAAGAAGTGTCCCCGAAATTGATGTCGCCTGTTTCGCCGTGATTCCCTCGATGCTGTCTCTCTATGTCAGTGCATGATGGAAAGTGAAAGACGATGGTTCGATGTCGCGTTGTGGACGTTCAATCTCGGAAATCTGCTAATCCTCATTGGCTTCATGGGTTTCAAATCGCAAGGTGGGCTTCAATTCCTCCGCTTAATTGCCGCCATGGGATTCGGTTTGCTGGCTGCAAAGAGTTGGATTATGAATGAGCCTGGAGAATATTTGATAAATACTCTGTGGTGCGTTGCGTTCGCCTTGATCAATCCTCTGCCGACTTCAGATGGAAGAATTAACCGAGAATGATCGAAAATCTGATACGGAAGTCTGTTTTAAGTGTCGGTATTTTTTTCGGGGTAATTTGCAGAGATTTTATGAATGAGTAACGTTGTCATTCAAGGGATGATTTAATTTTTGGTACAATTTTTCATCTTGACGTGAGAATAATTTGCATATATTTTCTATCAGCTTTCTCGCGTTTTATTATTTTTTATCCGATGATCTCCGACCGCTCTTCGAACTGCTTTGAATCACGATAAGAGAAATAACGAATGATAATTGCGTTCATAGTTTTTCGTTGCATTGCGTAGTACTTGATGAAATTTTGTCTGGAAATGGTGCTAATTTCGTTCCACCTTCAAAAAATTCTGGCACATTCTTGAGCAAGTGTTCGTGTCGAAAAATTAGCCTTCTCCCACTCTGAGCCACTGATAGATCAAGGCGCATCTCAGTCTCAACGACGTGGTCGATTCTTAAAATTTCAATAGGTCAGAAATGTGAGACAACTGTATTTATCATGTACTTCTGACCTGTCCTTGCTAATTTATCAGCGTTTTTTGTCCTTGTTTTGCAGAAATTGATGCCAGTTTCAGTGATACAATTGGTGGTCTTTTCCTTGCGATAGTTTGCGTGATGTGACCCGTTTGGTTGCGTTCGCGTTTTTTCCCCTCCCCGCATGGTTTCCTCTTCCAACGTCACCTGAATCAGAGATGAATGTGGATATCCAGCGGATCAATGTGGGATATTGGACTTTTCATTTGGGGAATGCTTTACTGTTTATCGGCTTCCTCGGCTTCAACTCACAAATCGGACTCTTGGTATTGAGGCTGTTCGCCGTCTTGGGATTCGGAACAATGGCGGCTCGGATCTGGCTTTTGCCTGATAAAGATGGATACCTCGAGACGGCGATTTGGAGCGCGGTGTTTGCCGCTGTTAATTTCGTGCACTTGCTTGTGATATTCTATCGATTGAGGCCTATCAAATTCTCGACTGAGCTAGAGATGGTGAGTCATCGAATGAAATTAATGATTGTTTTTCATTCGCATTAAAGTTGTGAAGTCTTCTCGTTTTTGAAGACAAGAGGAAAAAAAGGAAAGCTCAGGTACAGGGTATCTATTACGTAAATCTTGACTCAATTATACAATTCTGTAATTGCGCAGATCTTCAGAGTGACTGAAAACCTTTTCAAAGCGCGACTGAGTGAATTCTGTGTAATTTTGCGATCAACTTCCCTACTTACTTAAAATTTTTGCTTTTTATGCAAATCGATTGAAATTAGTTGTGGCACTGAAAACATAAAGATGCACTTGAAAAGTCAACTCGAAGTATATTCGTAATTTTTATCTTTCAGGTATATAAAGCCATGTTCGTCCCTTTGCGTGTCTCTCGAAGTCAGTTCAAAAAAATCACCGAAGCTGTGACCGGGACAATGCATATTCCAGCCAACCATTTGTTCGTTGAAGAAAATCGGTCACGTGTCGAGAATCTGACCCTCGTACTTGACGGCAGGTAATTAAAACTCGGAAGTATAATCTTGTGGTGCTATTTTTGAGGGCCGAATTCAGAGAAAGTGTGTTATGTTCAAAAGAATGAACTTCGCGTGAAATCAAGTTGAATCCCGCTTTCTTCAATGATCCGTCCTTTCTGCTAAATGCTGTGTCCGAAAATTCTCTGTGCAGTGCAAATTTTCTCTTCTATGCTTATTTGTTTATTACAGTAGTGATTTTTTTCTTTTGAGGAAATTTCATTACACGTACCATTACAGCCAATATTGCGTTGTTATTTTTCGCTGAATCCAAGTTCAAACAATCCTCCTGTGTGCGCGTCAGCATTGCAAAATTAGAATTAATGTCAATAACTCTCTTGATATACAGCAATTTTTTTGAACTAAGGAGGACCATTTTGAGATGTTTTCAGCTGCATTCAATTATTAGAACTTATTATGATATCCCCCCCCCCACGATTTTTTTCCCTTTACACTGAAGATATTATGCGTCTTGAGAATGCTTTCTTTTCCCCTGTACTTTGCCGCGAATTTTTAAAATGTTCATCGGTTAATGCTACATGGAATAATGAGCGTTGTCTTATGTTGCAGTTTTGCAGTAACTCAAGGGAATAAGAGACTGCATGTGGTGAAATCACTGCAGTTCCTGGATTCGCCGGAATGGTACATGGTCGTGACGGATCATCCGTTCCAGGTGACGATGACCAGTCTTGAAAATTCGACTGTGATAATGTGGCATCGCGATAGACTCAAGTTGTCCATCATGCGAGATCAATTCCTGCAAGCCGTGTTCGACCACATCGTCGGAAGAGATGTCGTCAGAAAACTTCTGCAGGTGATTTTTTTGCGTTCCCTTACGAATTCAACTCAGATTGATGATTTTCAAGCCTAGATACTGAACTATACTATACTCTACTTCAATGTGATTTTAGTTTACGTGATTAAGTCATTCAGTTTTTTGAATCTTTACATGAGTAATTCGCCGTTTTTTTTTTAGTGTCTGTAAAAAAAATGTCTTTATGCAAAACAAGTTGATTTCAGGAATTAATGTGCTCAAAGTATTGGATTAGCACTGAACATTTTTCTTACGAAGCCCGATGTCTTAACTTCTCAAGGTCGATAAATGCCTTCGTGATTATGTATTTGTTGACTTCATTTTTTTCTGAGTTCTAAATGGGATACGTTTGGCTATTCATTGTTTCTTAGATGTTAAACTGCGTCCGATTTGGTTAGTTCTTTCAGGTTTTTCAGTTATTTTCTGTCATTTAGTTGAGGCCTGAAATTGAATACTGTAGGAAGTGTAGGTAATAATGAAGTTACTTGTTAAATAGGTGAAGTTAGACATAGAAATGAAGATAGCCGAACATTTTACTCAAAGCATCGTAATGGTTAATTGCAGATTTGTTCGATCGACTTGCTACGCACCATCGTGTCTGAAAATTAAAGAAGCCGTTAATACAGTATTGTAAAATATTTCGAAGGGTTTCGACGCGTTATGCCCCGGTGGGACAGCTAGATGGTTTGAAAATAATTAGTATTTTTGACTAAAACTCTTTGCTGGCACCGAGGAAATTAGTGACATCGTTAGAGCAGCAATTTTTATCTGTCAAAATGACGGAATTATGGATTTTTAAAAATGGCATGTTGGGATATTCTCGTAAAAATTCATTGTTCCTCAATTTTCCCATAGGATAGTTGTGAATGAATAACTGGGATTTGTCCTTTCAAGGCCAAGTAAATTCCATTCCCGTTCCCAGACGTGAGCCACATGTTGAAATGATTCCAGGAGTTTTGCCCCGGTGATATCCCTGTTATGAATATCCTGACGGAACATGCAATCTTCGAATATCACAATTACTCTATCATTTTCCGGAAATTTTTTGTGTGGTCTAGTTGCACATAAATCATTCTGTGGATGAGAGCGATTCATCAGATTTTCTATTCTCGTGGATCCATTTGTGGTATAAATTTTACATTGCTTAGGTGAGCGATACGTTGTCGACTGCAACTATGTTGCGGTGCGAGAAGCGTGCTGCTGGAGCCTTTGGGGATTCGAAAGGAGGTAACGGTATTATCGATTCGCGAGCGGATTCTGTGCCGAACAATAAGCCAGTCGTTGTTGTCCACCGTGTGGACAAACCTGGGCAAGAATCGGTGACGAATCACGTTTTGGACTCTCATGCCAGTGGTGAGATCCCGTTTGTATATTGTTCGTTGCAAAATTTCAATTTATTTTCTGAAAAACTTTTGTTTTGTAAAACGTATTCGCAGTGGAGAGATGTACTGTTTGGAAATTGGTTATGGTGTGAAATAGTCACTTAATTTTAACGCACTTTTTTCAAATTACACTTAGTCAATTTCGTGACGGAAGCTTGTTGGACAATCATTCTGGATGGGATTGCATGAATATCAAAAACGTTTTATTTTGCACTTTTTAGCATGTTCATACAGGGATTCTAGTTTATTGCGGACTCGGTTTTTGTAACTCCTGGAGAACATTTTAAGACCCCTGTCGTTTTTCCGATTCGATTAGTAAGATGCAGGATTATGTAAACTGCGATAACTTGGATGGTTTTCGTGGATGTTTGAACCGATTGCATAGGAGCTTAGATAAGATTTGCATGTTTGCCTCTGTTTCCCATGCAGTATAAAACTTTTATGGGCATCCTGAATTCTGCAGCATTTATTGCCAGTTTTGTTGCTGCTTAAAATCAAGGTTTTTTTAAATAAAATCTCAGGTTACTAAGAAATAGCTGCGTTTTTGAATGGTTAAAAAAATATTATATGGAAAGGCATCGCATTCCTTTTCGCGATTTATCCAAGTAGCTTCAGCAGTCGTATGGCTAAATATTTCACAAAGCTTTCGATTCATCGCTTTCACGCTTGAAGTGGATGGACAAGTACAGTATCGTATTTATAAAAATATAAGACGAGTTTTCTTGAACGAAAACTCAGGAAGCGTTTCAGAATAGATGATGTGGATTGGCATGAAAAAAGATATTATGTAAGGTGATCAAAAAGGTGAAATCATTATAATGAATAAACCCCTGGAACTTGGAAGGATAAGTTAGAAGAGTATATTTTTAACTACGAGTAATTTAATACTCAAAAGAAACGTCTGGCGAACATTTTTCTTCGTTTCAGTGTATTTTTATTCAACTCTGACTTCGATTGAAAGAGTGTTGGTGTGCCCCGTTGTTTACAGTTTTTTTTTTTTCAGTTTTTAGTTCCATTTGAGAATGGGTGCGCTTTTTAGCACTCCGTTTACACTTTCAAGACGCAGGATTTAGTCGAATGTTGATGCACTTATTTTAAAGATCAAATTGTCTAATATTTGATGACATCGTACTCATATAATGGCGTCTTAAATTCACATTTAAAGAAATTAATGATCTGAATAAAAATTGAGCATAAGATGAAATGGTAATGTGGTTAAGCGAGAAGGCGTCTTAGATTTTAATTCAGATTGAGGGATTAAAAACTACCTAATGTGTCCTGGCATTTATGGCGCTTGTATTCGTGAAATACGGTATTTGCGGCAAAGCCTCGTTGTTTGTTTTTTTCACGCTGGAATGTCACTTAGGATTCGGTGCATGTTTTGTATTGCCACGGTAGGAAGGAAGCGGTACGAGGAGGAACCGTTGCTCGCGACGAAGCCGGATCGGTTGTTGAAAGACGAGTTCACGCTTGCTATGGATGGGCTGATGGAGGCGATTGGGAGGGACTCTTTGGCCACCAACTTCCGTCCGTTTGTCCAGCATGACGTCATTCGCACGACTAATCTGTAGCTCCTCTCATTTTCCTTTCTCAGTCACGCACCACTTTGATTTCCAGTGCCGAGTGAAAGAGAAAGACTTGTCCGTTCGAATTACATTTTTTTTTGCGAACAACAACTTTTTTGTTGTTAGATTCATGCCAGTTTTCGCTTGCCATCAGTTTGGGTGTACTTTTTTTTTTGCTTGTGACGCGCTCTCGCAAGTTTTGACGATATTTTGTGTAGTCACACAGAATTGATTTTTTGAAGCACTAGATTTAGGATGAACTTTTGCATGCTTTTTAAAAATTATCTTGGTATCTTTTTGAAATTTTTAAGATTTGAAATACTGCAGTCAAGCGAGCCGGCTGAAATGCCCGCTGTTTGGTCAAGTTCTGAACTAAATCATGGGAAATTCACCTTAAAACGAACAAGTTTTCGATGGAAATGTATGTTTACTCGGTTTGGTTTATCAGTTTTGTCTCCCTAGCTGAGTCGCGGATAGATAAATGAAGATGCTCGTAATTTGCAAAGATTATTTTCCCGACTGCTTTGAAATTTGGCACGACCAGGTTGAAATCGAAGGACAGAAAGTTGGTCGTCGACGCGATCTCTATGAGAAAACAAAGATTCCATGATCTATAAGCAGTTTCTTCCAATAATTGAAAATGTGCCATGACCCTGATCTGACGACCATGTTGTAATACTAGTTCTAGTAGAGAGAATTTAGATTTTGATGTTTAATGTTAAATTTGAACTGACGTTGTCATTGGCGAGCGAGAAGTGCCATTAAAGAAAATTACAGTATTTTCAAATTATCCGAAGCTTTCTGTAACTCTTATTAATCCCAGAGTAGATTTTAGGATTCCGACGAAGAAACTTGGGTTATCCAAAAAACGCAGAAGTGATGAACCATTCCGTATGAACGTTCTTCTAACTTGAATTTTCCTCAGCGTATCACCGAGAGAGTTTCTAATCGTTTTTATACGTATAGTATTCGATTGGCTTAACGAGAGTTTAGGCTTTCCTGTGTAAAGCTGTTTTTAGAAAGTTTAAATTTTGAAACTAAAATCTGATTGTCTGTGAGAAACATTTGTCGCCATGTACGTGTAGCTTGAGAATGTGCCATTTGAGTTTGCCTTGGTGGCATATGAACCGCGTGTATTTTGTTTTTTCATATTCCGCGGATCAATGTAGTCTCTGAACATATTGTTGCAACGAATAGGAGCCTTTGTCGGCGGAGAGGACTGGAGGATGCAGAAGATCGATGAAGTGGAGACCGAAGCGGAGACGAAGCTTTAAGAGAGAGGATTAAAAAAGAGCAGAGAAAGGGGGGGGAATGTGCTTCCTGCTGTTTGTTCGTTCGTTTCGGGGTTCAGCGATAGTGTGCCTTGTGTGTGACCTGTCGCGGAGTGCATCGTCGTAGGAACGAGCAAGAAAAGCGTGGATTTAGCTTGTAACCGGATTTGACGACTTGCGAGGCTCTGCTTTCTGGTCATTAAAAGTTGAAATGGAGTAATCCTGGTGGACCGTTTTACATGAGCCTACCTTCTGACGCTTCCGCAGATGTGACTCGAGTGTGAAAGTTCTACTTTGCGAAGCTCGTAAGGCACTGTTTAAGCTTGTTTGATCTTGTTTCATTTCGCAGAAATATCAAGCGTTGAATAATTTCATTTGTCGAAAAGAAACTGTAGTGGTCATTATCCGGGCATATTCTTTAAATGGTCATGGAAACGCGCGGAATGGAAGAGAAATTTGGTCGGATTAACAAACTTCAAATCGCAAGAAATTCTAAGCCAAAAAAAAAAATCGGACTCAATGTAGGATTCATGTTCAGTGAGAGTCCATCAACGACTTGTTTCTGCGTCATTGGTATCTGAACAAAATTGTGTTCACGGAACCCATCCGGAAAAGTTCCCGAGAATTTGTTTTTGTGTTTTGCAGAACTTCTCTTGCATATTTATTCTTATCCGTTTTCTGACTTCGGAGGAGTTTTATCCCGTTTGCACATAGATGAATGAACGGATTTAATTTGTTGTGGAAGGTAAAATTGAGAAAGTAAATTCATTTCTTAGTCTTCATCTGAAATATTTAAACATTCGAAAGAAAAATATTTGTCCAGACAATTTCTTGATGGAAGGTGGTGATCCATAAATCTTTCCATTTCTGTAAACCGACTGATTCGAGCGTTTCCATTCGCGCCAAATTTTTCTGATGCATAACTTTCCTGAAAGAGATTTCGTATTTGAAATCACTGGTTTGTAAATCGGTCTACTAGAAGATTTTCTCTTGGATCATTCTCAGTGGGAGTTCAAAAGTAGAAGCGTATTTCGTTCGCCGCTTTGGAATTGTGATACGTATTTCACTTTGGTTGGGAATTGGTGCTGTATTTTTTGGTTTGATTCTTGCCAGTAATTGTCTGTATGGTATTATAAAGGAACCTCGTTTTGAAAAATGAAAAAAAAACTGACGGATTAACGAATGATTCGATGCAAATCAGAAACAGAATCAATGGTGGTATTGCAAGTGCTTGTGAGTGTTCCATTGGCGTAAGTAACGGATGTCAGTTTTGTGGGTTCCTTGCGTCAAGCGTAAGCCAATTTTTTTTGTGTCCCGGGAAGTGATATTAATTTTTTTTCTAAATCCCGTCAGCGTGTTGTAGCCAGTATTAGCCGAGGCTCTCGAATTCGTCTGTGTGGCTCGCGCTTTGGAAGAACTTCCCGGAATAAAAAAAGATGGTGTCTGTCCGGAAAAACTCGTCCTGGTTCGTTTCATTGATCTGTCCAATAGAGGCAGATTCTCAACCTGTGCTGCACTTCGCTGGGGTCCTATGGTTGCTCCTGGTGGGAAAGTAACAAAAGTTCATCTAAAAATGCATTGAAAATAATTGATGCATATCTTAGCTTTTTTGTCAAACCAGCTATGGGAGAAACACAGAATTTTTTTTAGACACTAAATGATGTACTGCACGGTTACTCTGAAGGCTTGAGGTAGCTTGCTGCAGAGGAAAGATTTTCTAATCACCTATTTGATTCATTATATTGACTTCACACCTTATAATATGGAAGAATTAATGTAATTGTTCCCGTAAATCGTCCAGTCTCATTCCCAGCTCGAGTTCAAGTGATACACTGTACACTTGTACAGTCCAATAGGAATTGAATCCATTGGCAAGATCATCTGCTGGAGCAACAATCGTTGCAGATAGTTTTTGAAAATATTAATCAGAAGATGCATTCAAAACTGCCATGTGGAATGGTCTACGCACGGAGAACTAGCATTGGTGTGACAGTTTTTGAAAATTTCTGACAATCAAGTAAAAAGGATTGCAATCTTCTGTAGAATGTTAAGAAATGCAACCACACCTAACTTAATTGAGTACTGTAATAACATTTCCAGAGGAACATATGATTGAAAAAATACTTCCACGTGAGATTAATTATTAATATACTGTGAAGTATACTGGCATCCTAACGAATGTTGAAGTACAGTACTGTACAATATGAAAGGAGGAGTAAAGCTGATTTTGGTCCACGAAAATGGCGGCTCATGCAACAATTACTGTAGCCATGTTGATCCCTTGCCTCCTGAAGCAACATTTAGGACCAGTGAGTCAAATGACTCGTCTACTCGTCACATTTGTCTCATGAATACAGTAATCCGATATACTGTAAATTAGATCGCATTTTACATGTAGTTCATGAATATAGCCAGGTTTCCGACCTTATAAATCATCAGAATTGCACCGAACTGCAGAAAATTGCGTGCACAAGGTGATACTGTACCGTTCTATGAGGCATTCACTTAACCCACATATATGATGCACAAGCGTACAAACGGTCCGCGAACGATGAGTCCCATTTTCTTCGGTATGACCAAGGCCGAAACGGAGCGAAAACCCGCGCAATGATTACAATGCATGTGTGATCTGTACCAACGGAAACGTGATCATGTCCTTTAAATGGTGTGCCGACTGAGTATTCATTGGTGCATTGCGATTGTGATTGATTAGCGATTTAGTAAACTTAAAATGGTTTACTAATGATGAAAGCTGCCGGTAATTTGTATTCCCCTTTTATTTTTTAATCATGACAAATCGGTAGTTGAATACTGTGTTCATTTATTTGGCTATTGTGTGAAGAATTTTGGATCATACACGTGTAATGTTTATTTTTATTGATGCCTCAATATTTTCGTTCGTGTACGAGATTTTAATTTTTTCGAAATTCAACATCTGGGCGTGATTTGCTGCACTGATGAATTCATCATCTTAACTTATTTTTAATGTATCGAGAAAGGCTGTAGAAAAAGTTTTATTTTTCAGGCCCTCTCCCCTTCCCTTGTGGTTGCGGTTTCTGTACTATGTACCAGATAGTGTGACGAGTGTCCAGAGATACTCCACGCTGCAATCCGAATCCAAGTTTCTGCGGAATGTGAGAGCGCTAGTTTTACCAAAGCGGGAGACTGCTTGGTTGTATCTTGAGTGAAATTTTACGCCCGTCTATCCGTGCCAATTTCAATTGCATTATGCCAATGCACAAAGTGAGCCTTACCCAAGCTTTGCACAACGTTACCGACGACAAGTGGCGGTCGCACGTCGGGCAGGTAACCAAGACCCCGGTGTCACGGTATACTCCTGTCACAGACGTGAATAGATTTCCAAATGTCACGCCGCCATCGTCCAGGACTGGGTCTGGTCCTGGTAACCGGATCAGCCCATCGAGTGAGTATCCTTTTGCTTTTACTTCGTACACAAACTGTTGAAAATGTTCTCATATTTTTTTCTTTACAGCTTGTCGCGCGTTGGATATGAAAGAAGGAGGATCGAGCTCTCGACGAAATGTTATGCCTTTGGCTGGTGTGTATCCGTTTCTACGAGAGGATGAACAGCCGAATCTGCGGCTTGGTGTACCCACCGCCGTTGCCACCTTCACGCCTACTGGGAATATGAAAGTCAGCGACGTCAACGATGTGAGTTTCTTAATCTTATTCTTTTCCCCACCGGATGTACCATGGTTGAAGTTGCTGCTACCAGTTTTGGTGGATTTTTTCGTCAGAGAGGCTTAATCACGAGGGGCGAAAACATAAGTCGTTTTTAAGCGAATCTATTAGTGGAGGCGCTGCTTATAGCTGTGAAGTACAGTACTGTATAGACCAGTGTTCCCCAACCTTTTTTGGGCCCGCGGACCGGCAAATTTCGATGAATTTTTTTTCGAACCAGGAAATTTCCAAAAAATTTTCTGCGGATTGGCAAATTTTCTTGAGATGTTTGCAGACGAAAAAGGTTTGATCCATTATGGCAGGTATTTAAAAATTTCTTCTTTTCTACAAAAATAAAGTTAGAAACCCATGAAGAAGCTGTAGTGGAATTTCTTAAAAAATTGGAAAGGTGGGCTTGAAGAAAGGTTTCTCAAAATCAAAAATAGAAAGAATTCATTTCAGTAGGTAAAATTTTTTCTGAAAGGGTTATTACAGTAGAAGAAAAGCCAACTTTTCTTTGTTCATCAGATAATTTCATGAGGCCTGCAAGTAGTTAGGCTCTATTATTTTAATCCTGTGACGTTCTTTGGAATGCGTCTGTACCATAAGTATAGTTGGCAAAGTTTGTGTTTGTGTGTTTGTAGTCACGACTTTAAAATGGAAGAATATTTTTTTATTGGTGCTTGCTTTACCTGTCTCCTCAGTTCTTTTATTGTAGCAACACCTCTTGAATTTTCTGTACAATTTTGCTCAACTGTTGGGAGGTTGTTATGTTAATCCGACGTAAATCTTCTTTAATGTCAAGTTAATTTAGCACTGAGTTAAAGTATATTAGTTTGATTATCGATTGTGATATTTATTAATCAATTATTTCAAAATTCGGGCGTTTGATGAGGTGAATCGGATGCAGGTGGGTCATTTGTGCATCATGTTTTTAAATTTTAGTTCTGTTTTATGCTATCGTTGGTCATTTTTGCGTCGAGCTATTCGGGTTAGTGGGGTGGTGAGCCACTGCAATGTGGTGCTAGGTAAGTTAGTTCACTTCCGTTGCAAAGTGGTGAGGGCAGCAGTTTAACCCACAATTTCTGAAGGTGTTCCAGTTTTTGTGTGCATGATTTAAAACAAATTGATTGAATTTAAATCTTTTTTTCAGCTGAGCACGCCGTCAAAGAAGCGACTTTTCGACAGTCCGGACCTAAATTCCAGCCCCTTGAACCGCAAATCTGATTTTCAAACTCCGACCCCTCGGCGGAAACGAGCTGCAAAGCGGTTGCTTTCGGATTCCGAGCATGACGAGTCATCATCGTATTCCCCGTCACCGGGGGTCAGTTCTCGAAGTGCTGGGAAGACTCGCGTTGACGGGTCTCTCGTGACAATCACGCGCGGCTTCATCGATCTCTTGTCCAGCTCGGAAACGAAGAGTTTGGACATCAACAAAGTGGCCGGGAAACTCGGAATCCCCAAGCGACGTATTTACGACATCACGAATGCCCTGGAGGGCATCGGTTTCTTGCGGAAAGGCGTCAAAAACATCGTGCATTGGTCGTGAGTTATTTTTTATCTAACCAGTTCCATGTTTTGAGGCAATTGTTTATTCGACGTGACGAGTTTTAGTTCATTTGTATGACGCATTTTTGGTGGAATCTAGTTTCGAAAAGATTAATCATTCGGTATTCTTGAGGATATTGCTCTCTCCCATAGTGGATGTATCTATGTTTTACTCTTTCATTTGAATTACAATACAGTGCGGTCGGTCATGTACTGTATTGAAAATGGTTTTCGCTTAAGGTTGGTCATATTGTATTACGCTTATAGTAAAATTCAAAGAATAACGGCTCCGATGTTGGTCACATACAGCAATAAAAGAGAACAGTGTCGCACACTTAATACGTTTCATACCATTTTATGTGTATTTAATTAAATAAAAAATTCAAAAAAGTATTAAATACAGTTCAATTTTGGAACTGAAGTGCTGTATATTTTAAATGTCATGCAGCATTTTTATGAATGGTTGGAATTATTGAAGAAAAATTCACATAGGCAGCGATTTCTACTCGGAGTAAGCAATGCTGTTTGAATGTGATGGTTGATTTCAAGAAATGCTAATTTTATGCTACTAATTGAATTATCAGTCATTTGCTTTATTCTTATTTGTACATTATTGAGAAGTTATGGTTTGTTTTATGTGACAGTTGAAGGAGTGTAACTGACCGGTTGCAAAATATTTCATGTTAGTCTCTTTTCCTTGTAGTGGTGTGAGTGCGGAACGGATCAATCCGGATTACCAAGTGCTTGAGAAGGAAGTGGAAGAATTGCGCAAAACGCAGCGTTTACTCGACTTCATGACGACTTCGGCGAAAGAGACTTTCAGCGAAATGACTGAAAGCGACGACGGGAAGTTGTGGGTCACGCATCAGGATCTACTCGCGTCGGCCCAGGCGAGAGACCGATTGCTGCTTCCGATCCACGTCCCGCTGGGCACGTCGTTGGAAATCATTTCCGGCGAGGTATTTTAAAATTTGATGGCTCGAAATGTGTAATTTTCGCGAAATGTGGTACATTAATGTATTTTTTCTAATTGATTTGTGGCGAATTCAGCTCATTTATCGAAATTCACTTTCAATAATGAATAAACGGCCCTCCTAGTTTAAGCTTCATATCTCTCTTTTCTGTATTTGTGTTTACGTATCGATCCGCACTAGAGGTATCAAATCTTGGGTTAGTTCGATGTGATTTGATCCGCCCTTTCCCGGCGACTGTCATATTTGGCTGCTTAAGATTAATTTTAGGTTAGGTGCTTACGATATGGTTTGTGAAACTTGTCATTTGATCGGCGTGTCGGGTTTGTATAATCTCAAGGTGTGTTGGGTTGTGTAATCGTTGGTTTATGTCAGTCGATACATTCGTCAGCTATTGAAAGATATTTAGTGGGATGTTTAAAATTTGGTTGTTCGTCGGTTAATTCAGACTGCCAATTTATTTAATGGGGAAATGTTCCCTCCGAATATCATTTGAGTATCCAATTGAGTGACGTGGATTTTCTTTTAGGCAGTTATATCGAGCTAATTATTCGACTTGCGGGTCAAGTTCGGATACTCGGGAGTAGTATTAGTGTATATTACTGCTACTCCAATTATTTCAGTTCGACGTATAGGGTTTTAATTTTTTGAAGGGATATTTTAGTTGGTACATTAGTTCGGTCATTCGATTACTTAGGTCTTGAAGTTGACTAGTGGGGTGTTTCGTTACGTGGGAGTAACGTTTTACTCTCAAACCCGATTATTGTAATCTAATTTTACATTGTTAAAATATTAGAAAGACCGCCAAGGAAATTTTAAAAATTTTGGAATGCGGGTGGGGGACAGTTGCATCAAGAAATTAATCCGAATTGCGATTTTCCTTTTGAACTTTTCATCAATTCTCGGTTTATTTCGACAGAATCGTCAAGTGTACCTGAAAAGCACAAATGGCCCTATCACGGTAACGCTTCTCAATACCGTTGGTAAGGCCGAAGCGGAACCTCCGGCAGTCACAACGGAGGTGAGTGGATTTTTTCATGAATTTTGAGAAGTTGTGAGTGACAACAATTGATAGGGGTCGGAAAAATGTCTCAGAAGCTTTAGATTTAACCATTACTGTGTATGATGTTTCGGGTTTCAGTTTGAATCATGGGAGTTATGTTTGTCGTCCTCTCTTTCAACTATTGGTTTTTTCATGCAGGTTAAGGAGGAACCGACGATGATACCTGAGAGTCCGACATCGGACCTCGTTGGGCTTTTCAATAGCCCTGTGAAGGACGAATGGACGCCGTCCTTCGGCATTGATTCAATGCTTGCCAATACGGGTTCTAACTCAGGTGAGTCCCATTGTTTTATTGCAATGGTTTTCATCATATATTTCAATGTGGCGACGACTTCTTGTGGGCTTGACGATAGCTGGACACTCTTTTGCTGCGATGTTGGTTTTATGGCCGTAGCACCAGAGGATTCAGCATATTGTCGCCTGCGTAACGACTGGGGAGTGTGTTAGCAAACCAATGAATGAACGCGTGGTGCCTTCGAATTCTTTACGATCGTGTTTGCTAGGAGTCGCGACTCGCAATGTTTTTTTGTTGGAAATACATTACTTAAGTTTTGTATTATCGCTTTATGACGATTGCGGTATTTTTGCACACGGTGTAGTGAACCTCATTTCATCAGACTCGTTCAGAAATCGTATCTTCGAATCGATGACGTCCTAGATTTGGTTACGGGACAACTTGAACAGCGACAGCTGGAACAATACAAGTCGCACAGCGACAACTGGCATAGTGCGACAACTCGCAAAGTCTTTTTTTATTTTTTATTATTACTCTTGAATTTTTATGAATTTTAAATAGAAGCTTAGGAAAATATGTCAAATGTTTTGTGACTAGATGCTCTTGTGTCCAACATCAATTGCAATTTTTATTCATTTTCTGATTTTACGAAATGGCAATGGAAAAACTCAAAATTAGAAGAGAAAATTGTCCATGAGCATTTCTCAGGCTTTTTCTTCAATTTTTGGCCTTGAGGAACACAATTTCATTCATCATCATTTTTATGAAACATTTTTGGCATATGCAAATCAGAAATTATTTTTCCATTCAGAAGATTTTTGCAGGCTTGAAGTGCCATTAGCATTGGTGATGTACCAGTGACATCTGTGTGAATTTGGATTACAAATTTCTACATGTAACCCTCCTGCTAGAACTGTTGGTGGTATGGATGAATGCAGAGTAAGTAGAACTTCATGAGCCATGTCTGATGGATAACAACAAATTTACCCCCCAGAATGTTAAAATAAAATGTATGCATTCCAAGACTTGAATTTCTGAATTGGTAACCGTTCAATCAAATTTTGTTTGATCACGACTTCAAGTATTTGTGAAAGTAGCCGAAACAACATTAGATTCCAGGAGAAATTATTTTCATCACATTATAAACAAATCAGCTGTAATATGAACAATTTTGGAATCATGCAATCCCAGAACTACTGCATATGCCAAAAATGTTTTAAAAAAAATAGAGGATGAATGAAATTTTATTCCTCCACGCCAAAAAAAAAACCTGAGAAACTTGCATTGACAAATTAATTTTCTAATTTTAATTTTTCCATTGCCAGTTTGTAAATTCAGGAAATTTAGAAAAATAAAAACTCCGCGAGTTTTCACACTATGCCAGTTGACACTGTACAAGTTGTCGCCTTTTGCGAGTTGTTGGGGAATCCCTAGATTTGCATGTAAACTACTATTTTATTGGATCTTTCAAGAATGTGTATTCGTTGTAATCATTATTAATATCGCATCAACTTATTGAGAATATTTTTGCAACGGAGGATGAATTCAGCGCTTAGTCTAATCTAAACCAAATTTGGGAAAGATTCATTGGCATCTTTTATTCGTGAAATGCGATGATTAAGGCGTATTACTGTTTCCCAAGGTATACTTTTCTTCAGAAATAGGTGTTTGTTTTGTATTTCCACGGTAGGCGGGAGTAGTTTTGTTTCTAAGACATTCAGTGGAATTTTGCTTGTAATGCACAACATTACATGTTTTTTATGTTGATTTCGCTAGACCAAGAATGTAAGTAAGCTTTTGCTCGAAATTCAAAAATGTGTTTTATCCATGAAGTGAAATAAATTCTGGGATAATCAGAAGCAAGTGACGATGTGTTTTAGGTCAGACAGTAAACGTTCCATTAATTTGTAATAATGTAAGATTTTATAATTGTTTGTATTTTAATCATTCGCTTTCGATTAATTGTTCCGCGATCTTAAACACGAAAGAATGCTGAGAATTAATAGAACGAGTGTCGAAAACTTTCATGAATATCGGAACACATAGTGTCGGGAAATGGAGCTTTCAGTCACAGTTGCTGCAGAAGCTTCGATTGTTTTCGAGGGTGATGAGGTAATTTGATCACGTACGAGAAGTCGATTATCCAAAGGGAACCTTGGTGGCAGCACGAAATCTGTCGTTCGAAAATCTGCTCTGCGAAGCCTTCATGTGTTAACGGAGCACCACTGTATTGTTCACTTTTCAGATCCGTGCGCCTGGTTCACGAGCCTACCTCTTGAGTTGGAGCAGAGTGACTACAACTTTGCCCTGGACGGCAACGAAGGTCTCGGCAATCTCTTTGACTTCGGCTTCTAAAAGCAGCCATCCTACGCACATTCCCCATCGTCGAGTGTCTCTTCGCCTTCACAAACCATCCCCAGTATTTTCTTTTTCTTATGTTCTATTTTTTTATATGTTCTCCTCGCGTAATTCTCGCCTCTCCCGGAGCTGAGGTTGTCACCGGATTCTTTCGCTATTTTGATTTCACGTGTACAAGTCCCAGTTTGAGGTACAAAGGCTTGGTTCTCGACCAACGGTGAGGTTGCTCAGCTCCTGGGGTTCTAGTTTGACAAAGAGGTGGGGTTTTGACAAAGGAATTTGCACGAGTTCGTAAGCTCTACGAGGAGGTAGTCTTGTCTTGACTGATCTGTGTTACGGGAAATTGTGCCACTATTGATTCTCGAATTTAAGTCTGAAGCAGATTCAGATTGAACTGCCTTTTTCCGCGCCAAAGCATTAATTAAAATTGAACCTTGCGTTTGATATCGTTTCTGTGACTCAAAATTGCCGAGCGTTGGTTGTTAGCAAGATCTGTGCTTTTTTCAGAGACTTTTATTGACGCTTTGAGGTATTCGATGAACCCAAAGGGGTTGATTTACGATAGTGTCTTGGACAATTATCACAACCTTGAGGTATTACGGTTTGGTGTGTCTTTCGACGACAAAAACTTATGATGAAATTTACCGCCTGTTTCATTCACTTCGTGAAATTAAGATTTCAAATCTTAGAAATTTTCCCGTAAGTTTTCACGTGCAATCGTGTGGGATAAGATCAATTGTCCCCTGAACAATTATAAAATTTTTTATTCAGTGATGCAGTGGTAAGCATTCTCATCCGTCTCTATACTTTCCTGAGCAGACCGCGTTACACTCGCAAGGGCGATCCAGTGTTTCGTGAGGCCGTTATGTATTGAAGAGTAATTTAACAATTTTTTACGAAATGAAATTTTAAATGGGTGGTTGTGAACTTGGGAATGAGAAGGAACGATTATAAATTAGATAATCCTGATGTATGGTTATTAAATTGAGATTAAGGTCGAATCATTTAATGATGAAAACCGAGTGAAGATGAACGCTTTATCATTTAAATTATAAGGATAGAAGTAGACCCATTCCCGGACGCATGGAATTAAATGATGTTTCAAGTGAAGTTAAACCGAATGGATGACGTCAACAAACAACTGCATTTTAAAAACTGGAATTGAGTGAATGGGAATGACGTACTGTACTTCAGCATGAGAAAGTTGAAAGACTCTAATATTCAATTCACCGTCACTCTTCAGCGTCAAGTTTTGCACTTCGTCATTCGGTATGATGAGATGGTCGAACTTCTGCAAATTTCTTTGTATTCTTCGAAGGAGAGGATTTTTTTTTGTTGACAAAATTTGAGTTATGTGTTGCAAGTGGCCTGCAGTTGCTGTTCCCTGCGGTGCTACGATTCGGAATTCGGCCTGTCGTAATTTTATTTTTGATTCGCACGGACAAGCGCACAGAAAAAGAGGGAAGTTGGAGACGGACAGACCCTCCTTTATTGCTTCATTATTTTATTCCCTCGATTTCTGCGTATTATGGTGGAGTTTTGTTTGTTTTTCTCTCTTGAGTTGCGGTTCCCGGGAGGAGGGGGGGGGTGGAGTTTTTACCTGTAAAGATGAAGCATTCTTTCGTACTTCTTCCGGTATGGAAACTGGAACACTTTTGATCTCTCGAGATTTGGCATGGATATTTGTTCTGTTTTTAATTTCCTTGAGTAGATATGATTTATCTAGAATTTTTGGTAATGACGAAACAGTGTCTCAACTCAGCGGTTGGATAATGACTGCGTTCGATCGACGACGTCGGAACTCCTTTTTTTTTAGTTGAACGGCTAAGAAGTATGTTCTCAGTTCGCTTTTGGGACCCTTTAGTGTTGTATAATTTTGCGCGTGGGTGTGCGTTTTTTTTAGGCTTTTTCTTTGAATGATTCGGACTGGATTATGTCACAGGCGACAATTTTCGATTTCCAGCGATGGATGAAAGAAAAGCGAGATTTTTCATGAGACTTGGTGGCGTCGATTTTAATTACACATCTGTGTGTGATTTGGCTTCTCCATAATTTTTCTTTCATGCCTGCTCGTGTCTCCCTATAAAGGATGACAATGAATGGATCATATTTCTGTACTAGAGGAACGTTGTTTGAACAAAGTGATTTTTGTAGGCTTTCTATGTCCGAAGATTTCCTATATCATGTCTCCCATCCCTGCTCTATAATGGAAGTTTTGCTGTGGTTTAACTAATAAGTAGAAAACGTTGTTGGAATTAACTTTTTCTTTGCAGCTGGAGATTTCAGTCAAGATTTATTGCATAAAATTCAAACACAAACGTTGAAATCGCCCACCATGGAATTTTCCCGTATGAATTCGAAATTCGTTGGATATTTGCTTTAAGCAATAGCGTTGCGTGGGGCATTCATTGTGAAGGGCATTACTTTGTAAATTCATCAGGATTTCAATTCTTGTGCAAGTCAGCTGATGTCCAAGAACGGATACAGGGTGAATAACGAACACCATTGGTCACATAACAGTACAGTGTTAATTCGAGCTTTCTACATGTGTAACTTTCCATAAGCACCGCAACGTATCATGATGATGGCTACAGATTCGTACGCTTGGTCGGGGGATTTGTTGACGACGGTTACCTTATTGAAATAATGATGAGCCATGTGCACAATTGTTCCCTAAGAAGAAGCAAGACTGCTTTTCATGCACATATTCGTGGAGTACAGTCCCATATGAAGCATTTTTTCAATAAATTCCAGAGTTACAAGTAGGAAGCAGAGTTGCTCAATTTTCAGACGCGTGACGAGTTATAACCTGTGCCAATGCTTCCTGGCTATTACAGTACCAAGAAGACTTTCATCTTCCCCCAGGAATTTTACTTGATGCATGTTAATCCTACGAGTGATCGCTGTGTACGGTAGAACCAATCCCGCCAAATGGCGTACCGGGGAGGAAGTGTTATACCGGGGAATTCATGAAACGAAATGGCTATGGTTATCGAACAGCGAATTCTGCTCTTCGAAAAATGAAATCTTATGAAAATAAGTGTGATTTCCACTTGAGGCTCTAATTTAAATATTTACCGATCATTTTCCCGCACAACTTTCTTAAAAACATCGTTAACTCCGTGACACCAGAAGGGAACTCAACTTCCGTACCAAGCGAGTAAAGTGTTCGGTATCTTAGATGGTTCGGGATCCTTATCTGCGCGGAGGAAGGGTCGTGAGATTTTGGTTTTCTCAGGAAATCTTGCTAATCTCTTGTGTATTTCGGTGAAGCTGTGCATGAGTCGCTCTGAAAACTGCGGGAGTTTGCCTTTGTGTTGCGAATTCATTTGAAAACTCTGAGGCTGTTTCCTAGTGAAAGATGTTCGACTTGATTGAAGTTTCTAAAAGGTGTTTTTATATGTGCACTATGTTATTTGTCCCTTGGAGTCTCTGTTTACATTCTACACCACCAAGCATTGCAGTTGAAGTCACTCAATGAGAGGCTGGCGCTCTTAGGGGTGGCGTGGAAGGGGTAGCGTTGAATGGAGCTGCGTTGAGTGGAAGTTGTACCATAACGTCGCGTCATGGCGGAGGAAGGGTCGTGAGATTTTGGTTTTCTCAGGAAATCTTGCTAATCTCTAGTGTATTTCGGTGAAGCTGTGCATGAGTCGCTCTGAAAACTGCGGGAGTTTGCCTTTGTGTTGCGAATTCATTTGAAAACTCTGAGGCTGTTTCCTAGTGAAAGATGTTCGACTTGATTGAAGTTTCACTTCCAACAGGCGAAACTTAAGTGATTGGTTTCGTACATTTGTGAATCCATCAAATAGAAAAAGTGAAGAAAACGAAAGCCGTAGTTAAATACCATGCAAGCGATCAAGTGTGTCGTCGTTGGTGACGGGTAAGTCCAATCTGATCCTAGTTATGTTTGTTCAATTGGGCGACGAACATATTCGTGTATTTCTTCTTAGCGCCGTGGGTAAGACATGTCTACTCATCAGCTACACCACAAATGCTTTTCCCGGAGAGTATATTCCCACTGTGTACGTATTTCTCAGTTCTTTGCAGTATATGCCGTGTTAATCGTGCGATTTCGTTGCAGTTTCGATAACTATTCAGCTAACGTAATGGTGGATGGGAAACCTATCAATCTGGGTTTGTGGGATACAGCTGGACAGGAGGATTACGATCGTCTCCGGCCATTGTCATACCCTCAAACGGTAGAAAATTTAATTATTTTTTCCGTTTTGAAAATTTCATTTTGTGAAATATTTAGGACGTGTTCTTAACCTGCTTTTCCCTCGTCAATCCGGCGTCTTTCGAAAACATCCGTGCAAAGGTAAGCAGGTTTGATTATTTGAAGCTTCCGTATTTCAACTTCATCTCTGATTGCAGTGGTATCCTGAAGTGAGGCATCACTGTCCGAATACTCCGATAATCCTTGTCGGTACGAAGCTCGACCTTCGTGAGGACAAAGATACGCTGGAGAAGTTGAAGGATAAGAAGTTAGCTCCTATCAATTATCCCCAGGTACGCTTACGAGATGAATGGAATTGCATGAAATCGTATGAACTGAAATATAAGCCTCGATTTTAAACTTGGATACTTAATCCTGTAGTTGGAAGCTTGAAGTTGAAACTTTGGTTTCTGTCGCAAAACCTGGCTACTCTGATTTTGAAGTGATTAAAATCAGTAAAATGTATCAAATTCAGGCATGAAAAAAAATTGAAAACGGAATTTTTGAGGCGTCATAAATTAATAGATGGCGCCTTACAATTGAGTAAATACGATATAATCCTTGATCAGATCGATTAAGGATAGAATATAAGTCGAACACATACCGACTCATGGATCAGTTTTCCTGATTTTACGAGTTTTTTGAGTTGAAACCGATTGTTAACAGTTGTTCGATGGAGACGACTTGAGTGGAATTAATTTTATCGACTTGTTAAATGTGAAGGTATTTACCCTGAATCGGATCGATGACACTTCATGATCCCGAGTGTCGATATTTCGCGAGTTGGACCGTACATAATGGGTATAGTGTCTACTCCGGACTTCAAGTGGAAGTCTATTTGTTTGAATGGGCTTCGCTTTTCGAGCTGGAAAAGTTAAGTTGTTTTCATGTTCGTACAAGTGTGGAAAAAGTCACCTCCAGCGAGTACCGTATTCGCGCAAATTCAAGGTGCCGACGTGCCATCCGTTCTGAAATTCACCCTTCAGCAGAAAAGAAGAGGTTATGTGTTAATCTGAAACAATCTTTTACTTCAGAACCCTTGTTCAGAGTGAACCATGAGAAACATTATGGCTAGATGACAAGATTCCCTCAAATTTAAAGTACATTGCCGTATTCCGATCGCTAACTCGAGAATAACTGTTCCGATAATCTTTACCCTTAATTCAGTCCATTAAATAAATCAGAATTGAAAATAGAATATCAGGGCACTCAAAAGAATAATTGTAAGCCGCTGGGATTATTCTTGGCAAATGATTGGGAGGAAATTTGGGAAAATTATAAATTACATTTTGTCATCATCACCCAAAAAAGTTTAATTTTTTTCATTACAACAAAACTGACAATCCAAGAATTCGTACGTTTTTTCCAGGTATGAGAAACTTGATATTATGCAAAATGCAAATTTAATTTCAAACTCTTCATGACAAATTTTCAACATATTGGTAAATGATTAGGGAAACTCAAGTCATAACCGTTCAATTTGCATTATGCAGTATATTGAAAAATGTCTTCGAAGTATGAAAAAATAGCAATTGGTTAGACCTTGGAACGTCATGAGAAACATTTTGAATAATATTCTCAATTTGTAATGCCGTCAGAAATATCTAACTAGGCGAGGCTTTGGGAAAACTCTTGTATGCGTACAGTGTTCAGAGCCTCAATAAGATCCCACTTTTTGTTCGTGAGGTTTGTGGCAGTTTGGGGGTTGGCGGTTGGATAGAAAAAAAGCTAAAATATGAAAATTGAGTATAATAGGAAATACTATTCCTATTTCCTTTCAGAAAGCAATCAAAATAGCCCTGACTCTTGAATTATGTACAGCTAATGTTCGCAAGAATTAAAATATGTATTTTATTTTTTTATTGGACACCTCTTGCAGAAACTCGATTCATGTTGGCGAGCTATCAAAGAAAAAAAGGAATTGACAGGAGCATATTTGAGCCGTCAATAATTGTTGAGGATGGCGTTTTAATTGGGTTTCCAATGCTCTTTTTTATTAGGGAAGATTCTTTCCTCCAAAATAAATCTGTGTTTGCCGATTCTGGTGGCTTTTCGGGGGGCTTCTTAACGGGATTTGACTGTATATTAATTACCAAAATACGTGAAATGGTTTGTGTTTCAGGGATTGGCGATGGCGAAGGAGATCGGCGCAGTGAAGTATTTGGAGTGCTCGGCGTTGACGCAAAAGGGTCTCAAAACAGTCTTCGACGAAGCCATTCGCGCTGTTCTTTGTCCCAAGCCGAAGCAGAAACCCAGACGGAAGTGCTCGTTGTTGTAGACCCCAGCGAATGTCATGCATTTCGCGCATGACGGCATGAACCCTCCGCTTTCCGGTGACCTTGTGCAAAGAGGCGAAGATGAAACTCAATGTCCCCGTTACTTCTGGAAACAAAAAAAGGTCGTTCAAGGTTTCATACCGACGAGGAATTTGCTGTTTTGTGCTCCCCATCAGGTTAAATTGAAGGCGGATCAGGGCAAAATGTTCTGGGGTTTACCTGTTTTTATCCATTTGTTGGACCCTCTGATTTGACGGTGTGTCTGCGATCGGAGCGTCTAAGAGTAATGCTTTAGGAGATCTTGTTTTCAATGGGACGATGTCTTATCGCTTGTCCTGTCTTTTTATCTCTAGTTATCACTTTTTATCTCTAGTTTTGCCGGAAGGCACTTACAAGGTTGGCCCGCAATTGGTTGTCAACTGCAGTATTTGAATGCGAACATTTTTGAATTGGCTTACTTTGAGATTGATCCGTTGCGTAACTAACTCCAGACTATTTGCGGAAATTGCTCAATTTTGTTCTCATACCAGGGGTTTCTTGATAGTTGTGAGAGTCACCGACACAAATTACCACTGCAGGGCAATGAAACCGAATGGTTGATGCTCTGCAATTTTTTTATTTCTGAAAGTTGGATCTATACCATCGCAAGCAGTTGAAGATGAGATACATTTAGAACTAGTTTGAAATTTGAAGATCATTAGCTTTTGGAGGAATTTGGGAGAAATTGAAAGAAAATTGGTCATGCTTCCAGTTTTGGTGAAGGTCCTCGAACTTGCGTTTTTATTTTTTAATATTTAACATAATTTCTGGCCATGTTCTCAAATGTCTTTGGCAAGTGTTTGGTTTGGAGTGAGCTTATTTCCATAAAAAGGTCGGCTCTGTTCATAGCGAGAATAATGTCCAATCCAAATTTTTCATAACCATCTTGCAGCAGTTTTAAGTTGTTCAACTTCTTGCGTGATTGACGTACGATTCAGAACTAAATTTATAATGAAAAACGGCATTTTTTCCGCAAAAGTATCTCTGGCAGTCCTAATTTAGCTGTAAATTATTCTTTAAGATAAATAGGGATGATGTTTTAAAGATGATTATAGAATGTTTCTTTCAACTGCTGTGAAGGTTAGTGGGTGATTTGCAATACCTTTGAGAACCCCCTTGTAGTTGATGAACAGGGTCAATGAGAAGGTCCTAATGACTAAGATTTTGATAGTTGGTTTGCGGTTATTCTTCATGAAGCTTTATAGTTCTTGATACATTTTCAATATAATCTGTTGGTTTGTCGTTTTCCCATTTGATTTGCTCCTTCCAGGTCAATGTTGGGTCAAGGAATATGCTTTGCTTTATTGCCAGTCCGCGGCTTAGGTGAACGTGCCTTTATAATATTTATAGAGAAACAAAGAATTTGACTTCGGCGAACAGGAAGAGAGAACACCATTAGTGGCGGTGCTACGAGTGTCGAGTGAGTGGTTGGTTTTGCTGAAGGGGCATTTCTCTGCTCGTTGCCGCATTCTGCATAGCATTTCCGAGTTACTACTCCGTGGAAGCTCTGATTTTGTGCACCATTCCAGATTTTTGAGCTTGCGGTTATTTTTGGGAGTGTGAGAGTGATTTGTTGCTGAGTTCAGTGGATGGCCGCGGCGCTGTACGGTGAATGAGCGCGTATTTTTTTTAATTGCTTTTGGGACGTTGATTGACTTCCTGATGAAGCATCGGGTATTGAGTAGAGGGACCCGTGTCTTGTTCCGCTCCTTCTTCGCCGTTTATTGGGCTAACTTGGCAGGGCGTGAAAGGTGGATGTGTTGCCCATGTGTCTGGGGATTTTGAAATACTTTTATCTATGTGTAAGCAATTGTGTCATTTGAGCTCAAATACAAGAGATTAATTATTGGCTACTTATTAGCTGTGGTCTACCTGTGTCTTCTGAGTGACATCCTTGAACATTCTGCAGTGTTTTTCATGACATGGTCTTCAGAAATATCCCCTAACAATACTCCTGTTTTTAAATCCTATGTCCCCATTAGAGAGGGGACCGGTCAATGAACTCCACATAATCCCTAATTATGAATTCCCTCTTTCTATATTTTCGCATGCAGAAATGTAAAACTCCAACGCAATTGAATTTCCAGGTTGACTGGTTAAAAAAGGTTACGCTTCTCCTCATATTGTTCTGAATAAAATAGAATCATAGCTCTACGCCCAACATATTTTTTTGACGGACAGAAATAAAACAAGCGAACATGAACTACATTGCACATGTATTTGAGAAGCAAGCCAAGATGGATGAATCTCCGTTCACTAAACTCTTTTCGACAGGATTACTGAATAAACACTCGAACGTCTGGACACAGATGCACCAGGAGTGGCGATGACGTTCACCAGTGGTACTTGTAGTTGCGGTGGTTCGCTGCAAATAATTTTCAGCGAATTTAAAACGGGGACTTAGAAAGGAAACCATACTGTATCTCCTCACCGTATTTGCAATAATTGATGGTGTAGAAGAAGAGCGAAATCCCAACCAACAATTGAGTGTAGCCCGCGAGTCCGCCAGTTCTAGCCAAAATGTACTTCTGACTCCAACGGTGATATCCTAGGATTAGAATAACCTCATGAAAAAAAAAATTGAGTACCGAAGTATCAGCGAAAGCACATGTGTTCCCAACAAATTTTCCCACGCACTTCACGAACGTGAGCAAATAGCCATGGAGTCGAGAGGGGGAAAACAGACAAAAAGAAAAACTTGGCTCACCTCGTGACATGAGGCGAGCAATCGAAACCGGGTCCTTGTTCCTCCTCGCCAGCCAAGGTCCCAGCTCCTTTATTTTTACCTGACCCAACGGGATATCCGCTGGAACGACAAGAAGAAAAATTAAATATATTTCCCGTGTATCCCTTCAGCAAAAAAATGAGCACACAGACAAATATTTTTATATTCCGAATGGAAAAGGGATAGTTCTACGTTCTTCTTCATCACATCTGCAGTTCTTTCATTAAAACAACGTCTTGAAATTTCATTACTGCGGAAAATGAACTCTCACTCATTTTTCAACGCCAAAAATGGCTTAAGGTTCATCTCAATTGTAATTCTGGCGAATGAATTGGAATTTTTTTTTCCGATTTTACCAAAACGAATTGCGAATGTTCACGGGTTGAATTTCAGGTGAAATCGAGAACTGTTGGTTTCTTCAATTCTTCCAAAATTAAATTCCCTGATATTTTACTCGGTAACTTCAAATAGAAGTGGTAAGGCATTTAAAATTATTCTTCGAGTATATTAGGGTTTGCCTCAGGAAAATATATACTTCTAGGAATCACGCAGCATTCCTTCCATTTTCAAAGAACATTTAAAGATGTGCATACACTCCTGTATGGATGACTTCACACTTGTAATGGACGCAAAGTTCAAAAGCGCAAAAGTTTAATAAGAAAATTTGGATCAGAACTTACGCTTTCCATAGTAACGAGCAGGGTTGTAGGGTCCATGGATTTTCTTGTTATAGCCTTCTGGGAGCTGGCCCATCCCCATCTTGGCCAACAAGTCATAAACCGACATTGTGAAACGGATTTACTAAGATAAAATTTCAAAATTCGCCTGGAAAGAACATAGTTTCGATAATTAGACAGAGTTTCCTTCTTGCCCGACGATGAATTGCGGCCGTCTTTTCAAAATAACAGTACTCCGTATTGATATATTTTCCTTTTCCTGCAATCATTCGAGCTAAATATCCGGTTAATTCTTGCTCAAGGTACATTGCAACACAGACTATGTACACTTTCCAGCTCATCACAGCCCATTGCTCGAAAGTATCTCAAATATAACATGTGCACGCGCAGATTAGGATTAAAAAATGGTCCAAGTTTCTCAGATCACTTTTACACAAAAACATTAAATTCAAACACTCGCAGCTGAAGTTCTTTCGACACAGGAGCGATCACAGTCGAGCAGAAAGCGGAATATTCGTGCGAAAAAAAACAAAAAAACAAATTGGCTTACAGCTTTGGTTACCTCATGACCCTGGGGGTGTAAAAACAACTTCCACTGCGAATTTTTCGCGGAATGTTTTCCAAGTTTTGGCCTTGTGCGGATTGTCGAGTTCTTCTCGAGTCAAGTACAAACGATTGCTTTCGATAAAGCTCGTGTGGAACCAAAAATAGAATGGCACGTTCTCGTAGCCCGTCGGAACTCGCTTCTGCAAACATTTCCATGAGAAAAAAGTTCAATTTCTTACATAGCAACGTTTTCCGAGTAGAACATAAAAAAAATAATACACGGCTACTGCAGTTACCGATATTTTTTCCAGTCAAGAATTTTACCATTTCAACGTTTTTCAACATGGGGGAATTGGTTCATAAGTTTTGTCGTTCTTGCGCTTCCCTCACTGGAGTCTCGCTTACTCTTGTGTTAAAGAAGTACAGTATATGGAAACAATCTTTCAGCATTTTCTGTTCAAAAGTTTGTAGTTGACCTCGATTACATCATGCACACATAAGAACAAGAGCAAGTCTAGCTAAACAATCATTAGCCTGTTTTTATCAGGAATTCGAGTAGTTTTATACTGAAATTTATTTTTGGACTTTTTGTACACAAATAGCTCAATTTTTTAAAAATACAGTACAGCGTATCAAAATTTTTCCATTTTCGATAAATGTTAGGGAGTATCCCCATCTCAAGAAATTGTACGGATGACGGAGAATATTTTTTTTTGCCGCTTGACGTGTTCCTAAGTCGACTTGTTCGTATATCCGAGTTTCATTGTACAATACTAATGTACATTTTGCTCTCTAAACCCACCGAAGAACATTTAAAGAGCATCCTGACTTCACCCGACATGGCAGGACTGTTGATGAACCGGACCGACAAAGTGTCACGCTCTCCTTTGTATTCGGCTTCGCAATTGAAGCTTGTCCCAAAATCAGCGGCAAATACCGTGCGGCCACGCCCCTCGTCGATCGTCACGGAGAAATCCAAGCCGTTCCCTTTCCCCACGCCTGCTAGCCCGGTGATAATGAGGGAATCGACTCGCAGCACGGCTGGTCGAGGAAGCACGAGCCCGGCTGAGTTCACTTTTTCGAAGTAGCCGACGAAACGACACTGAATTCAAATTTTAAAAAAATTATAAAGATGTAATAAAAAGGTATTCACAGTGGCGTTTGCTGCTCAGAAAAGGTATTGCGAGAACAATACCTGTGAAGTATCTACAAGAAATAGGAGAAGTTGAGAATTCAGAAACCCAACTTATTCAAGCTCTTCAGAAAAAAGTTCTACGATGAATAAGCTTCTTTCACCCAATCGTTAAACGTACTTGGCTCAAAATATTTCTTTAAAATCACACATCTTCCGTCCAAACTTTTTTAGTCTACAGACAGATAATTTGAATAATTTCTGGATAGACAATTATTTGGTTCAACTGACTTGAACGCGCTTGTCCCTACTCATTTTTCTTGTCATTTTACGTACAAGTCGCCTGAAATAGGTTTTGCGAGATTAAAGTTTAGCTAGGATAAGCTAAATAGAGATGGTTTATTATATGCGGTTATGATAAATTCAATTTTGAAAGATTGATGATTCTGGCGACCTCTGGCTTTAAATTCAAGGAGCCTAAATCGATCGTTAAAACTCGAGTTTATGCTCGATTCGGCGATGCGATAACCAGCATGAGCAGCAAGTACCACTGTAATGTAACGAAAGTGGGTCAAGTTAGTTCAGTTCAACTTTGGCCAGGTATTTCTGAAGAGATCAGTGATTCAGGCGGTCGAAGTGTGAGAAAATTATCCTACTGAATTACTACAATATCATCATTTTTACCAAAGGCATTCCTAAGCAAATTATAAAGAGACAAAAGTATTATTTCAAAAAGCAGTTTTGAACCAAAATTTTAGGAAGTAGACAAATATATCTTGCCAGGCACTGGTTGTCACTCACCAGACCTTGAATTACACAACCTCAAGTTGTAAAAAGAGATGAAGGCTTCGACGCTGTCAGATTGGAATATTGAAATTCAACTTAGCAGAAAATTCGCTGGTATCACTGAATTGTTGAAAACCATCAAAATCCATTGCTCATAGAATTACCTGGCTAGGAGTTTCGACTCCCTGAAATTTTGTGCTGACGTTGAGATCGGTCCTCCTTTCGCTGAAATAATGCAGCGACGAAGCCGCATCTTTGAGCATGCCGGCCCTTATCAGCCAAACGCATATCATTGTTCCCGTTCTTCCTTTACCTCCCTTGCAATGCACGGCGACTACATTTCGTTGATTCTGAGAAAACCATGCTTCCACGTCTTTGACAAACCGAACCATGTCCCTGAAAATCCGAGAACCTCCAGGAAATTATTCATCATTGCATTTCATTGTTCGGTGACTCACGCGACCGTAGGAACGTTATGATCATCGATCATGAAACGCTCCACTCTACCATCGAAGAAAGATTCGTCGTAAGATCTTTCGCTGCAAAGATTGTAGATCTTGTAGGCACCATGATGCTTATTGTTGAAAAATCGAGACACCTCCTGCAACCAACATGAGTCAATGCAGTTTTTAGGGTCAGTTGTTCCAGGTCACACAAGCTTCATGTTAAGGACAGACTTCAGATTTTCGTCCAAGCGGGTTATCTTGACAGGATATTTCAACATTATAAAAATACCTTGAATACATTTCGAAAGAGAATTACGTAATGAATGATCGCCCATCCTCGGGCAGACTTCATCTATGCGTCGTTAATGGCTCTTAATTTTATTTCATCGATTCGCTCGATAATTACATTCATTTACGCTTCTTTCGGTTGTCCTAGTCTCGACTAGGATGCGTACAGTACTTACCGCATCACTCTGACTACACGTGCAGAGTGTAGTGATGTACACTACTCTTCACTACACTAGCTTGTCAAGAATTTATCACCATCACCAACTTTCTCGGGAAACTTTTTTGTTTCAACAAATCCTTATGACGACTTCGAATACGGCAAGAAAGTAGGATAAAAACCAGGGCAATCCGGTAAAATAAAATATCACTTACGCTGATAGGATTGCGGTACAGCGACATATGTCCCGAAGATGGGAAGCTCATTGCGATTATACGGTCAGTCACGTACGTTAAATCCAAGTCGAATCCATCTTTTTGATATCTGAACAAGAATATGCAAGTCGATAATACAAAAGGTAAAAAAAAATCCGGATCCAGTTTAGCTTGAGTGGCATAAAATGTACCTTCGCTTATTTTGTGAAATGAATTGACGTGCGCCAGTTTCTAGATGCTGCTTCTCCGTCACCAGACGAATGAGCCTCACTACTCGAACTAGACGTACGATTACTAAAAATCTAAGAAAAGATGAAAAATTTTAGATTATTCAATAGCATGATGAATTTTCACTTTCTGAAGGCGTCCACCTACTTGATTGATCGCGTGACTTCACTGATGATGACCACATCCACAATAGCGAGCACAAAGGTAACAGCGATAACTGCCAAGTCCAAGAAATTGAACCATTTCCCGAAAAAATGAGACCTGCAAAAAATCAAGGACGCCGTCAGCAATTCCACTTCCGGATAAACAGTACTTACCCTAGCGCAACAATGCGCATTCCAACTTCGACGACGAAGTATACTGAGAAAATCAGGCTCAACCACGCCAGGGAATTCGAGAAATGTGTGTTCCTCCCTTCGCTTGCCGAAACAAGATCGATGATGATTACGCACACATCCGCAACGATGACCACAAGGGTTAGCAAACGGAAGAACAGATGTTGAACAGTTCTCCTCAGTTTCCAGATCACATACCTGCGCAGATTTCGAAAACATGAAGTAACATTTTGAGAAATAGCGAAGACAACACTAACTCTGAGTTCAAACCAGGTAGCGGGGGTTGCGACGGATCTTCGAAGTTATCCAGTTCAAGCTCACCATCGATGTCAAACGTAGGTTCCAGATCTTCGGATGACTCGCCAAGAAACGACACCGCGTTCGATAATGCCGCAGTATTAAGGGCCTCCGGGGGAGTTCCAACGGAGTCTCCCCCATTCGTTATTTGTCTTCCATTAGATGGGGGCAATTGGATTGTAACTTCCGCCTCGATCGGAGCAGCTGAACTCGCATTGTCGCCAAATCGCTCGTATTTCTTCATGACCTAAATACACACGCACACACATACACACTAACACAGAACCGGGAAATCAGTCAATATGCTTTGAACATTAACTAGCACCTGCAAAAATAAAGAAATGTTTTGAATAATAATTCACGAAAGAATTTCGTCACACAAGCCGACGTAAATTCCTTTGGATGATCACTCGAGAGCAGGATCACCAGTTCCTCTTTCTATGCCGAGCTAACGGAAGACACAAACCACCTCAACATTTGATGAACGTACACATCCCTCGTGATCACAGCCACGTGTCTCGTGCTATAAGAGATGAGCAAGAGTGCTTTTCAGAATGTGTTTGAACTGTTTAATTTCCACAAACACATAAGCAAATTAAATTTTATTTCATGAAGCTTCTGCACACATGTGGAAAATACTTGGTACATAGCCAGCCCTTTATTGGCACCTGCTCTGAAATAATATTCTGTCTGTCTGTCGGATTACAATTTCAGTAACCTCTTCAATAAGTGGCCGCGCCATCTATATCTCGAAGCACATTTTGAAGAATGAACTCATATTCCTAGCCTTAACGAGATTTTGTTCGATTTAATTTTTCTCAGTTTTCCAACTGGAATGAGTAACATATATAAATGGCCAATGCAGTGAGCTCGTAATAGTACAGCATATGCGGCTCATATTCCACAACCTCATATATGCGGTGCAGTTACAATATACAAGGTCCAACAAAAGTAGATCAGTACAGTATTATGAAAGAATATCTTGAACGCTTAATTTATCCCATTGAAAGAAGCTTGCATTGCTTCTGATTCAAGCCCCGTTCAATCTTACGCCCGCAGTATACAGAGATGAACACCATAACACGAATTTGAAAAGATTACATATGACGAGAAGTTTTACTACGCTTTCCAAGGAGGAACGATGAGGTTAAACAAGCAACTTTCGGTTGGTATCCTCAGAATCACAAGGCATCATGGATCTCCATCACCATGCATGCTATAATTAATCCACAACAAACTTCTTTTTCCGAGTACTGTACAGTCGTGCGTGGACTTCTCGCCGGAGCTCACATATGAGCTGCTGAATTTACCTGTACAGTACATTGTTTTATAACTATACTTGTATTGACACCCAACTAACGGACAAAAATTTGGCATTCTTTGAATAAGCATGGTATAATCCTCAAGCTTATTACAGTAATTTTCCAGGATAATGCACATTTTCAACTCATCGACTATTATCCGTATAGATTTATTCTGGGTCATCCTACATCAAGAAATTCAACACCCCCTTGTCGCTGTGTACATTCACTCATAAGAATAAGCAATTCCGTTGACCTCAATCAGCTACCTTTTCAGATCAGATCCCACAAGCAGAATAAACTGAGATCCAATTAACATGACAAAGCTGGTATACGCGAGGACGGAGAGAATACTGTACAAGATCACCGGCGCTCATTTCAAATCACGCGAAAGCATTTCCATGGGCTATGAGCTAATCCTGCCACGGAACGCATTCACCGCCTGATATTCGCGACTGTCGAACAAATTCCATTTAATCATCGCGAGTATACGCAAAAGTGACGATCAAGTGGTGCTTTCATATCATCGTCAGTCATGACTAGGATCCGTTAACTTCTCTTTACTCCGGCTGATATTTCCAACAACCACGCTTCCTGAAATGGGATGAAGATATCATCGCCTTCATGCAAACGTCACTGGAAAATATGGGTCGATCCGTTCTATTTTCTCGGAAATCCCTTTCTGAATCTACCCAAACTCTTGTTCTTCATAAAAACTACAATAGTGCGCCAATGCATCAAAACTAAAAACATATATCTAAATAAGCACATAACAAACTAACAAAGTACCAGACTAAGCACATACAGTCATACACGAACCTGCTAAAACATCACCTAACTAACGAACAAAAAATGTTCGCATCAAGATCAAGGAGAGTAACCAGGGGAAAATCCGAGAACGTTGACCAAAAAAAGCTGTAGCCTTCACGCAGTGGGTTTACACTTTGCGTGAGTTCAGAAATTTCATTTATTTATTCATTCTTAAGTTTCCTCTTCTTTTCCTTCGCCTTCATAGCATCTCGCCCTTGCTATAGCTCACGATAGACACATGGCCCTTTTTTTTTTATTAGGATCCGCACCGAAAAAACAGAGAAGACCAATTTTTCACCAGGAGGCCATACGCACATAAGATCCCCTTACATCTTTACTTCTGAGATAGCTGCAGTTAGCGTGGTCTTGTAGGGGTCCACGACGTGCACCACTTGCGCCTAAATCACCATGTTTAACTGCAAGATTCCTCTTATATCACCCTGCGCACACGTCACGCAAGGGAAAGGCAAAACCCTCGTTGACCCGTGTAGCTGACAGAACATCTCATTTCGGTCCAGAACCGGGCATTCGCCGAGCAAGCTCATCTCGGCTGCGTTCACTTAAACAATCGGATTCTTCCTTATAAAACACACCAAAAACAACAACAGCAGACTGAACCAACAAAATGTTTTAAAAAATTGTTACCCTGCCCGCGCCCCTCCTATCCAGCAGTCAATTCAGAGGATGGATAGTTCATTGCATTTCTGTTCTCATACAATATATGTAAAAAAATTTGCAATGGAATGGGAACAACGAAAAATACGGAAATCAAGCTTTGGAAAAATCGTCACTTGCGCCAGTACTGCGCAAACTTATGGATTTGCTCCACCAGCATAGGCATGACTGCAGACACAGACTCATCAATGATGCCCTGAATGTATTGCACAGCTTCTTCGTCGCTCATGCCCAAGCAAAATTTGTCCTGCAAATCAAATTTAAATAAAATATTAATGAAAAAAAAATCATTTTAAACTTCATCATGGTTTTCATTTCTTCAAGTCTAGCTTTCTATTCCCTCCTTCACGTCGTGAGAGTCCCTCATCACTCAACTCAGTGGTGCCAAACGTAGCTACGTAAAGTTACCTGGACTTTTCTAACTGTCTTGTCCGGCTCCAGCGCAATGTCCGGCACGTTTGCGTCAACCATGAGTGCAAACAGGTTGATGATCAAGTTAGCATGTCTGAGGACACAAACAGAGTAAACACATGGATGACAGAACAGCGCAGAAGAACAAAGATGGGGAAACCAGTGTCACCTTCTCAAATAAAGAAATGATGTAAAGCATTTGCTTTTGAACTCTTGATACTGGTCCGAGCCCGGGCCACCCATGGCCTCCACCATTTCACGGCTCAACTTCATGGGCGGCGGCATCGGCTTTGGATCACGCCCTACGACATTCACCAAACTTTTAAACTTTGACAATGAGCAAGGATAGAGCACGGGAAAATTTCACACCAAGAATGTATCCAAAGTCAATATGGAAGAGTCTGCCTGATGTGGTGAGAAGGAGATTGTCGAGATGTCTGTCTCCGACGCCGAGCAAATAGGTGATGATGCAGTAACCAGCTAAATTGTGATGAAAATATTAAATGTATTGGAATTCGAAAATCGTCGACAAGAAAATGAGTGAAAAACCACACGAACACACTCACCGCAACTACGCACGTAGTTGTCCATCACCTCTGTTGCAATTCCATATGGGCCTGTGTCGGAAGGATTGTGTTTTCTGAGGAAGTTTTGGATGCTACCGTCCTGATTGAGTATCTCCGCGATCGCAGCCGACTCCACGTACTGCACAAAGCCTAAATGAAGGTCATGGCATGATACAATCATACTGACAGGGATAAATAAGAATGCAACACTCACCGTGTTTCGTACTAGTCGCCAGCACGCGATACGGGGTCAGCTTCAGGTCCAGATGGTCCCGCCTCATGAGCTTGTCCATCAAAATGATCATTTGCAGTATGAGTTGATCTTGCCGCAGGTCGTCACCATGCTTGAAAATGGCCACCACGTCTGTATTGTCAATCGTGCGGAATGCAAGCTTGGCCGGCATCAGGGATGACTTGAACAATGACGACTTTTCCGGCACAACACCCACGATCTTGATGCCGCCCGGGTCCAATGGGAACGGCAAGGGATCAAACGAAGACAAATTAAGCTTGTGGCTCTGTGGGTCAGACAACAACGAACGCAGACGTTCGATCTTTTTGCGCCGGTTCCCGCTTTCACGTGCAATTGTTTTCATGAGCCCTACAAGCTTATCCACGAAGTGCTGCTGTTTGGCCAACAGCGACCGGCGGCACCTACATTCTTTCCCGCCTTTCATCAAGGCGTGCTGGAACCGCCGCATGATGGCCAAGTACATGTTCCGCACAGCTTGCGAGTCTATCCTCTGAGGCTTGCTGATATTCAAGTCGGGCATATCTTCTCGCCCAGTATCTTCAGCTCCTCTCTCTGCCGGCACGGTCACCCGCTCTTCTTCGCCATAACCCTTACCAGACAAAGCACTAAAGGCAGTATTGCCTGCTCCTGGTGAAGCAGTAATCGCAGTTGTCGCCATCACGGATGACGTCGATGACGAGGACCAAGTGGCAGGCGTGGGGGAACCCCCGACCGGGTCTTCGCATTCAATCAACAGGTACCAGTGCAAATAGGACGCGAGAACAGTGTTATGGCAGGAGCGATGAATCAAGAAGCTGGCAAGGTCCAGGTCTGGTCCAAATCCAAACTCAACTCCTTCAGCGTCCCGTCTTTCATCACCGTCTCCAATGATTGCACGTTGCAGTGTTTGCTGTTGTTGCTCTCCAAGTCCGTTTGTTGCTCTGTACATTTCAAAAATCCGCGCACTTTCTTAATTACGATTACACTGGTACACAATATATTGGTCCAGCTACTGCTGTACTCACTCAGCTCCTCCATGCGCCGCTCTCTGCTTCTCAACGCTCATCGATCTATTCGTCATGAAGTCCTTCGACCCTGAGGATGAAAGTCCAGGAGCAGGGACACATGTTGACGCTGTAGAAGTAGATGAAGACGATGATGAAGACGATGAGGATGACAATATTGATGACACCGATGCGGGCAATTCTGGGTTTGTCGCAGTGGCCGAAGCGACGTTCATGATGCTCTGCAAGTTTTCGTACTTGAGCGCCTGTACCAATTGTAGGAGGTACAGCAAGAGGTCGTCATCTGGCGCCTCTTTGAGGCGCAACACGGCATACTTTCGCACCATCCGCTGGGCCGTGTAGGCATCAAACTTAGGGCCCAGAAGCTCCAGCGCATCTTCAGGATCCGGCGGCGACCATTGCGTCAGCAGCTCACCAGCCTGCTTGCACGCGTCACGAAGACCCCAAGGCACACACTGAAGAAACTTGGACAAGGCCTACCCCAATACACAAGTGGTCAGTAAAATCGCATAGGTCTGACTAGACCAGAATGAACACGCACTTTTTTGTTGGCTGTCAAGTAAAAGCGGTAACGCCACACAAGGTCCTGCTCTTCCGGTGTGAGGTGCTGCGTCGGTGGGTAAAGGGTGATTCGCTGCAGGGCATCCCGGATCCCCGAATTGGGCTTGAGGTCACGATCAGACAACCCGCTCCGCAGCGACCGCGCCAACTTCTGATGTTTTGCTTCAACAAGATTTTCCTGGAAGATCAACATACAACACAACTAATAAGAAAAAAGACACTTCGCACCAAACGACTCACTTGAAACATTTCGAAGTCCGCCACAACCGAGAAGCTGCTATTTCCTCGGGCCTGGAAAACCTCTTCACCGTCGGGTTCGAAGTAAACAATTGTATACTGCAAACAAAACAAGGGACCCGACCAGATTGAATTCATTAGCAAAATCGATACACAGTAATTTGTGGCCACCACCACACCTGCACGCCATTGAATTCGAAGCGTGGGAACTCCACCACGAGATACATTTCGTTTGTGGCACGCTTCTCGCGCTCGTTGATGAGTTCAATCTCGCGGAAAGTCATGCGATCCAGCCAGTCGACGCGTTGCATCCTACCAGACCGGTGTTTCTTGACCAGCTACAACGTGTGCGTTCATATACAGTAAAACCCGTTTTTTCATCCCAGTTTATCCCTTAATTCAGCTTACTACTCACCTTAGACAATCGACGCATTTCCTGATGACCGTCCTCTACCACAAGTTTCCCCGGCGTACTTGTGACGGATCCGCCGTCTGCTTCAACGTCCCGCCAAACCTGTGGGAACGCATGACAGAGATACATCATCGATTACCACGCTTCCTCCAGTGAGACACGCACGACAATTTTTCACCCTAAAATTTGTATTAAATCCCCAAGTACGGCACACGCCCCATTTTCAGGGACTGAACAGATACATTTCACAAATAAGACGCACCAGAATGAAAATTTGAACATGAATTCAACTTAAATTTAATTTATTTTTTTTACTGCTTTGATTTAAAAAATTTCTCTTCAAAAATGTCCATTACATTCAAATGTGACGCGCACGTAACTTCTGACATTTTTATGATAATCCTATCCTCGCCAATGACTAGCAACCCCTTTTTCATCTAAATTTAAATAAAAAGGTGCGCGTGGTACTCAAGTAACTACGGCAATAAGCATTAAAACCAACTATGACCACAGTGGTAATACAGTAAAACCTTGAGGTCTCGGATGCCCTCCCGTAACTGTCCATGGGCACCAAACAGGGACAAAGTCGTGCCACCTACTGGGGCCCGCTTTCCGGGCCCGTGGCAGTCCCACACCGTCAAGCACAGGACGGCACTGCGTGGCAAATCGCACCACTTCACAGGTAGCCATACCCACTCGTTCCAGCTGAAAATGATATCCATCATGTTACGTGTCAAGTTGAAGCAAAAACTCTAGCTTACCTCCAACGGTTTGTGAACGGTTTATAGCCGGTCTGCACTGGAAAAGCAACGGGACGTCCATCGGCAAAAACTGAGCATTCCACGTACAAGTCACAGCACGCACTCACGTAGCGACCTGACATCTTCAGCTCCGGCTCTCCCAGTACGTCTTCATAACTGACGCGTGTTGGGGCACCCTCCAGGCTCCCGCTAAAAAACGGCAAAATAAATGCAAACAAAATGTCATTCGTAGTCACATTTGCGAAAGTTCAATGCATTTTTATTCACATCTTAATGCACACGTTAGCGTCGATGTCGCACGAGTGAACGTAATGGAACTTTCTCTTAATTACGTCATCCATTTTCTCCTCACTGTCGGTGAGCTCTGTAAATGAAAATAAGTACAGTATATAAAAAACGACTTTCCTCATCCATAAAAAAAAAAACACTTGTTTTGTCAATGTTGAGTAGAAGAATACATTTACACTCATCCACCAGTCGGTGTCAGCGAGGGCGTATTGCGGGCGATTCTGAATGAAAAGCTAAAAGACATACAATATCCGTCTGCATTTGTTGCATATCACAGATGACAGGCCGAAGTAAGTTTAAAAAACACACGAGAAATTTACGCTATGATCTAGGCACAAACCTAGCCAAATGTCCCATGCATTGAATAAGGCTATGAGATCTGAGCGCTCCGCATCACACTCAAAATGCAATTCATAGGGACGAACGGTTGAAGATGCAAAAAAAAGCGTCACAAAATACGAAGCGAACAAATTCAGGTGACACTGTAAGGCACACCCGAGAAAACACACGGCCTGTCCCCACGCTGTTGTCAATTGGAGTTCGTCCTCTTCAACATTCATATCAATGCCACCACCGTCCAAAAGTGTTGCCAGCAATATTGACAAACAATCCTCAACAGCCTTTCCATTCGTAGTCTTAACATGACATCACTTTTTCAAAAATTGAAGCTGAATTTCGTCCGATGATTCCTCCTTCCTTTTCATCAATTTCTCATGACAAGAATTCCGTCTGCACATAGAGGAAACCCCACGATAGACAGCGAATACAAAAATGATCGTCGACAACGACTCACTCGAACAATCCACCAAGGGATTCCATTGCCTGAACCCAGAGATGACATAAGCAACGCAAAAAGAAACCTACGGACGTAAAGCCATCAAGTGCACGTAAAAAATGATTTAAAAAATAGAGGAATGAAATCAGTAGCAAGGATGAAAAAAAGAAGCCTTCATGACGGTAATAAGCGCATCGATTTCAATGATCCCAAAAATCTTGACACATACCAAAAAAGAGAAAGAAACAAATCGCCAGACTGGTTACTCATAGGAACCTTTCCGAAGGTTTACAAATTTGAGTTTTCCAAAAGAATGACGCTTTCATTATTTATAAAAATGATGGCAAGGTTTCTTTTCGCGATCGTTTCACAGACACGCAGAACGCATGAGATTTTGAAAATAAAATAAAAAACCATTTGCAGATATGACAACAGAACACACATTCTAATAACAAAATTCTTCACTGAGAAAAAAGAACCACATCAACAGTGGACGTGGTGCATTCTTGCTTAATGCAAGAAAAGTGTTGCATGCGTCGAGGCGTTTTCGACGCACGTTGCTGTGCAGACTCATTGGCCGTTGCGTAAAGCTTTTTGTCTGTCACGCACGTTAATCGACGTTTTCTCTTTCCTTCTTTCAAAAGAGGTGGTGGGCTCCGAACCCCTGCCAACTGTCGCTGGCCCCGTCGTCCAACCCGTTCTTGCCGTCCACGCAACCCCGCCATGCTGTCCCAAACCTGCATCACAAGTAAGCTCATCAAATGATTCTCTGAAGGCGAAAACGGGGGAATACCTCGTGTGTATCAACGATGGGTTCCAAACCACTGTTGCCTTCATCATCCTCTCCTGATTGGATCACTTCGTCGTTCTCATTCCTCCGCCTTCTTCGATCAAAATAACCAACGAGGAACGTATGCGAGTCCTGTCTCGCATCACCATTTGCGTATAGCTGGGCCAAGAGTTGGTGGTGGTCCGCCAATTCGGTGTTGAGGTCATGAATGCGGTGCAGAAGCCCAAAGCAGGGCTGGCACAATTCCGCTTGCATTCGGTCCAGGAAGGGGTCTTGGCCGGCAGGCTGTCCCAAAGCTTCCAACAGAACGTCCCTGACTGTCGCTGAGGTAGACAGCTCGTTACCCAACATTCGCCGCGCTCCATCATCATTGCAACACACACCGCCGCACACGCTGCATGCCACCAATGGCGACGCGCGCCTTTTTCTTTCTTTCATGTCTTGATTCCGGAAGAATTCCGCCAATTCTAAAACCATCAACAAAGAACATTTTTACTATTACTACTTCCAAAATGCGCTTGACTGAAGGAACTTTTTGGCAACTGATCATTTCACGAATTAACAAAATAAGATCACGTCTAAAAATGTGAATTCCCGCACACCGAGAGATTGAATCAAGTCGCGGTCTCTTCACAAAATACAGCAAAAACTCATTCCAAATATGGATGGTAAGAAAATACATCAAACCTTAGTTGGTCCAACAAACCTTCGGCCATGCACCCAAGAAAATATTCGGAGCTATCCTAGTTGGGTCCCCCCAACTAGGATAGCACCAAATATTCCTTTTGCCTTCATAAAACCCAAAAATTGATACAATATCCATAATTTTGCTTCCGGCAAAAGTGGTGTAAAACATGGAGAAAAAACATAACAATTGGCCGTCAATAGGCAGTCGTGTCCTGCTGATGATGCTCGCGCAGTAAGTCCATGGGTAGAACGATACTGTGGGCATCGGCATACTCAATGAGGCGCTGGCACTTCTGCTCAAGACTGGTAATATCGTTGCGTAAGCGTGCCTTCTCAGTACGGAACCGGTCCAACTCAAGCTCTACTTGGACTCGCTCAGACTCCAGGTCCCCCTTTTGCTCAATCCTCTTCACCCGGCAACTGCCAACATTGCACATTGCACGTCCATCTCAATTGCACTTTACGGGACTTTATCCACGTCTCACCTTGCTGCGTAGCCTCGATTCTTGAGAGTTCTTCGGCGCTGCTTCATTTTGACAATATCTTCTCTCGTCAGTCCACGAAGTTTCAACTGACGATTCAAATCCCTCACAGAGATAGACACCAGCTCTTCGTCCGATATATCAATCGCGGGAGTCGGCGACATATCAATCCTCTTAAAAATCGTAAGTTAGAAACACTCATCATGAAACAAGAGATACAGTACAGTACCTCACTTACTCTATTATTCACCTTTCCGGCTTCGGATTTCATCACCTTGCTTCAGTTCGTCCGAGGGTTTTTACACACTCGCGAACTACCGCAATCACTTCTAACTCCATTAAAAAGAGAAACCAAAAATCTGTTATCGGCTCATCACAACGCACATGAACGAGAAACATGCGGAATCATACACAGTCGCTTTCTCACATGATATTCCGATTTCTCCTCCGATTGCTGAAAACCCATCATCATTCACCACTGAGGCAATGACGCGGAATGCAGTAAAAGACGGGACATCGTCTAAGACTAGACAAACACATACACGAACACAGGACTCGGAGATAAGTCAAGATGCTCCAGAAATTAACTAGCCCCTGAAAAAAATAATTAAAAAATAATTAAAAAATAAATTAATAATTAAATTAATTAATTAAATTATTAGAATTAAAATAAATTATACAGTACAATGAATTACAAAAGAAAAGAAAAATCTAGATTTAGATCCCTTCCAACATTCAAGAAATAATGCACTCCAGTCAACAAAAAGAGAATGAATAATCTACTTCGTTCACATGGACGAAAACATTAATCTTGTCTTGCACTAGCGAGGACTGCAGTCACAAACAAACAACAATAGCTATCATTAAAAGCATCAAGACGACTCGAAGGGACAATCCTTCCTACCCCAAAATTCCACTTGATTTTACTGATTGGCTGAAGTGGACGGAGAAAAAAAGCATGTCAGGAAAATGTCTAGGTGTCACCCAGGTAAAGCGCACCTGGCCCCGGCTTCAGCACGGTACTCTCCTCCCCTATTAGTTCTGATTTCTGAATGATCAACGGAGAGAATTGGGCAAAGATATACCATCACCTGAATGTATAACTTCTATGCATCAAGATTTTTAAATCACTCACAAAACTTGAGACAGCCGTTTCAAATTACTGCATGCATTATACATTAACCTTCTTAGTGCAAATTAAAATCAAATCTTGAAAATGCAGTAATATTATAAAAAAAATTTTGTAACACAAGCCAGTTTGGATTTTCAGGATTCCGGGAGGGCAAAATAGATCCCCATGAAGTAATTTTCATTTGGGATAAATTGTTGAAAGTAATGATTGTACTTTACTAACAATATACAGGGTGGGCCAAAAAAAGTTAACCGATTTTTGACTTGAAATAGCTTGGTAAAACATTAAGCTGTGGCAATGAAAAAATCACCAAATGAAAGCTTGTTCAATTCTCTTTCCAATGGTATGCAGTTTTATGGTCCCAAGTGCCATGGAATGGTCAAAAGAACCATTTGAATGCTGGAAACTTTAAAAAAAAATTTGCCAGGCAACTTTTTCCACTGAGCTGCTGTCCTGGAGAGCTGTTTGGATGAATAAAGGAAACTCAGGTAGCAATAATTTAACCAGAAATTTCATGCTGTCTTGGAGAGCCTACACATGTTCAAAAAATTCAGAATCAGGAGGGGGTGATAAAGGGGAAGGAAATTGGCAGGATAGGATGCTGTGGGGCTCCCATCATGCATGCGTGCTATGGGCGCTGGCATTGCAGCCTCCAGTGACCCACTGCATGCACATTTCTTTCTGGATGACTGGATTGCTGACTGATTTTAATTGAAACTGATTTTGAATTAAACTACTATTTGGTGAAACTATTTTTGAGCAATACAGTCACCCAGAAAAAAGTGAATGCAGAGGGTCACCGCGGGAGCCAGCACACAGCCAGCGCCCATTTTCTACCAAGCTTTTTCAAGTCAGAAATCGGTTCACGTTATTTTGGCCAACACTGTATGTAACGCATGCTACGTCGCGTAATGGCCTAACAATTTGACGTTGTTAAAATCAGAATCGGATAATTCTCCAGCTTACTACAGCACTTTTTCAGGCTAACATTTTCCAACTCATACTGATTTAATATAATCCGCATACTTATTTTAGTTCATCCCAATTAATAGAATTCAACACCAAAGGAAGTTGCGAACAAGAATATGAATTCACTGATTGAATAAAGAATCCGGGTTACGTCAATTAGCTACCATATTTATTAATCCCACGAATAGTACAAACTGAGATCCAATTAACGTAACAAAGCTGGGTACGCGTGGACGGAGAGAATACAAAATCACCGATTCGCGATTTCGAACACGCGAAAGCGTTTCCATCGACTATCAACTATTCCTCCCGCTGAACAAAATTAAAGCCAGATATTTGAGACTTTCGAACGAATTCCATTTAAGCATTGCGGGTAAAGGCAAAATTGATCATGAAGTCCTGCAATCATGTCGTCAGAGCACATCAGTCATGACTGGGATCCGTTAACTTCCCGTCACTTTGGCTGATATTTCTTCCAACCACGCTTTCTGAAATGGAAAAAGGGTATTCGCCATCATTGAAATCAGAAATAATAAAATAGGATACAAATCACCGCATACATTCAGACACACTGGATACAAAATAGGTTCGTGCGTTCTTTTCTTGGAAATCCCTTGTTGAATCTACCCCAACACACGTCTTCATGGATATACGTAAGCCTGAATTAATTCGATAAAATTCTTGAATAGCACAGTACTTTGGATGAGGATTGACAGATGGGCACATGAATGCAAAAACTTTTCAAGGGCAGTTTCAACAAGGAAGGACCCACTTTCATATTTTTCCGAATAAACCTACCCATGGATATCCCAGCAGAGTCTTTCCGCAGCAAGTCCAATGCACCTGGTCGTGCACGCAAGGATCCAAATTCTTCCCACAATGGTCCCACATGCCCTTCCTGGTCTTCGTTGTACGGTAAAAATCCTTCGGGAACTTTTACAACCAGTCCCCCAAATTTGAAGCGTTTTCTAGCCAAATTCAAGCCCCCACTCAGCAGGTAGACATTATCGTATCCACGCTCCACGAGAACCGTAGCCGCTTTTGCGGCCAGGATTTCATCATCGTCCAGCAATACTATCAAACGGTTCGCTCTGTTTTTCTAATGAAGGAAAAAATACTCATTGCAACCTTCTTCTGTGCATGTTATCATGAAACTGCTTCCCACTAAATTGCCCATATCTCTGAAAGGAAACATAGTCAATAAAAAAAAACAGAACTTCTTATTCCTTAAAAATGATACTAGGGCGGTGATCTTGAATTTTAACCACGGTGACCAAGAAATATCAGGGCAGTGAAATTTCGGCAAAAAATCACCGTATTTTTCAAAAAACATTTCAGCAGAATTTAAGTGGATAAAAATGTACCGTCAGGCTCTTCAGGTGTAAGGATAACGTACTGTATATATACAGAACAAGCTATGATGGCATCTGTACACAGTAAAAAAAATCGCCATCAGCAATCAAATTATAATTAAACATGCTTTTTCAAAAATTCTCATACGTCTGTGAAACCCATAGCATTAAAATACAATTGCGACTGCCCGTGACGTCAACAAGGTTGAAAGAATTTAAAATCGTAGGGGACGCAGTATGAAAAATGTCAACCGGATTCCTCACTGTAAATTAAATATTTTTACGAAGAACATACACATGAGAACCGATTACGACACCATGTAGGACACGGACTTCATCACGGAGTACAGTACTAGGCACACAATTCTCCCAGAATGAGATCGCCTACAGTTAACCATGCTGTTCTTAAATTGGAACGATCAGAGGTTTTCGTTTCTTAGTTCACATTGAACAAGTTCTCTGAAAGAATACACTTAAGCTAAACAAGCTCGAGGTGCCCAACCACACCTAAGCGTCAAAATATGTTGGAAGCTTGCATTTATTCGGGATCATATGTTTTCTTAGCTTTACCATATTGGTCAAAATTTTCTCATGAACAGTACAGTGCTTTTGTTTATTAAATTCTAAACATACATGACGAAGTCTTTCGTATAATTTAGAGTAGCGTTCACTAAGCCCGGGTCCCCAGACCGGCCCCAGTCCTCCAAACTTGTTTGTGGGTCCATTGTAAAAAAAAGCCATGCAAGGGTAACCAGTCAGTTAACAGAAAATCCTGTTGGGCATTTTTTATCGTTGAAAAGGCGACTCACATAGTGACGAAGAAAAGGTGCTTCCCAATTAACGCGGCTCAATCGTGACGCCGGGTAGTTTTTGGCAGTGCAAATGGATTCCTTACAGAAAAGGTCAGGGTCTCTTACGTCGAGTAACAAATAAGGGCGATGCCAGGTGGAATCAACTCCTGATTGACTTCCTCCACGCCCAGTATCAGGTCCATCCATTCCGCGCATGAGACTGTGACAAGTTGAAAACGGTCTGGTTACTTAGCTTGCGTGCATATAACATACGCAGGATGGATAACAGCACAGTGATAAACACGTTGACATTGAGCCTACAGTAAACTTGACTTAGATTTATTGGCTGCTTCAAATGATAGAAATCTTCAAACCTTGCGACGGATGGAATTTCCTTGCTCTTTGAGTCATTGAACATACGAGGAATACTCGTTGTTTTACGGCAGAAGACTTTTGAATCGCCGCTTTCTGTTGGATTGATCGTCTCTGCATCGTTGGTTCTGTAATCACCACCCACAGGTTCTTCAAAGTGAGGATCGCCTTTGCTTTCCAGCCCCAAAGCTGCTCATGATTAAATGAAAAATTTTCAAGCCCATGTAAACAAACAAGAATCCTACAGGATTTTCCTCTATTACATCAAAATAATGACGGTAGAAAAATAAGGGGGCAGGAGAAAATCCCATTGGAGAGAAAATCTCGCGGCTCGAAAATCCTCTTGGGCCGATTATCGGTAGGCCTAAAAATCTCGCGGGGTGAGAAAATCCCATGGATCACAAAATTGTGTGTCTTTGGGTTTCCCTTCAAACCGTTTTGAAACATCAGGATTACCTTTCTCAAGAGGAAGGTAAAGAGAACGCTTGAAAAATATACTGTATACGCTTCATATTGCGCTTTAATCCCCGCATTTGTTTTGCATATAAACTTCGTAGTGTACTTTCCTACTGATCTTCACATATCAAATTTGCAAATTTGAAGTGTGAAAAAGGTATCAATTTGCTTGAGCTCCAAAAATATTCCTACAGCATAGACTTTTAAGGCAAAATAAGGATTCAAGGGTGCCAATCTCGGGTTATTTTAGGCGAGACAAATTTTGACTGTGACGGTGGTGATGATAAATAACTATTGTAATGATAAATACGATGATACAGTAGATAAAATTAAAGTTACGGGATTTTTATTCCCGCGGATTTTAGTAACTTGCGAGATAGTCGCACCTACGGGGTTTTGGTACCCATACCGGCCGCGAGATTTTCTCATGGAGCCGAAAACAGGATATTATACACACTTTTTGGTACAGTATTATCAAATGATATGAGATCATGTTTAGTCTACTGTGCATGTAGATCAAGTCACTGGAAACATTTGAGTGTTATGATGAAAAATGGAAACTCTTTCGTAAAGGCAGTTTAACTTCGTCTAGTATAGCGGAAAATCCATTCAAAGTCTTCACAGTGCTGTAATTTTGTCAACGATTTTCACTGCATGACTTTTTTGTGGTCACATTTACGGCTCCTTCCCGTGGAATAAAGGTTCTTTAAATAGTCTATAACGTCTATTTCTTCTGGTTCCTTGGTTTTGTGGAGTTCACCTGTAATATTCTTAACTGCCCATTTTGTTTGAGTTACTGCGTGAAAAATCCGACTGAACGCAGAGATGACTCCTCGAAATTCATTTTGTTCGCATAAAACAGGAAATATTCGTTCAAAAATATACGAAAATTACCTTCAAGTTCCGCCACTTCGAGAAGCAACAATGCCAACGCGTTTATCCCTATTCGCTTGAAACACTCGTTCGGCTTTATCCGGAATTCTTTATTAAGAGCGCGCAATTCTTCCTTCACAAAACGGGCATTGAATCCCGTGTTTATCACAGGTTTCACGTTTCTATATCTCAACGACATCTACACAAGGAAAGAGAGGCAATGAATCTCCACAAGAACACTTTTTAAAAATATTTCACAATGAACTACAACATCGTATCCAGGTCTGAGTTTCCGAATGCACCACACGTAAGCAAATCTCACCCGCAACTTTTCACCAAATGGCGATGAACGCAACATGATTCGAACATTTTCTCGCACAACCGTTTCAACGCAGAATCATCACAGCGAAAAAGACTATTATAGTACAGTATGACTTGAGGAAACCTCCTCATTGATGACTAAAATCATTCCAAAGCTTTTACGTTTGATTTTTTAAAGAATGTTCCAGAAACGCTTATGAATGCTTCGCACATCCGCGACTAACAAATCGAATACATCATTACCCGCAGATCACGTGAGTAGTAAAACGAAAGAATACACAAAGCTCGTCCCGAAAAAGTAGCCTACCTCTACCAATAAAATCACGCTAAAAAGAAAGCGGACGATCGATATTCACTCACCAAAAATTATGCGGAATGGTTAGAAAAATGCGATGGTACCTTGAAATTAGGTTATTTGAATACTCAAGATTCACAGTCAGCATCTTCTAAGTAACTGGGATTCAAATTACGAGCCCTGATTTGAGAAATTTCATTGATGTTGCAATAATGTAAAAAATGTTATAGAACCGGGTCTATGCAGCTTGAATACTGTATTACAGTATATCAATGAAGGTTTCCAATCATTTGAACATTTTGATACAGAGCTTGGATTTAGAGTAACATGAGAACTATAATTCGTCACGGTGATACAGTAGACTTTCGAATCCTTCTATAAATTTCCGAATAAAGATAAATTCAAAATGGTGATTAGAAAACAAACATGCTGTATATTCCTCTGCAGAAAACGAAGGAACTGAATCCATCGAACAACATTTTATAACGGAGGGAAAAGAGTAACGAAACGTATGAACCAACGCTCATGACAAAAACGCGAGAAGAAGGGAACTTCGATTATTTTCAGTTCATGGAAGAACTTTTTAGTGTGTGCATACGAACGATCCACTACTTTTTCATCTACATGGGGTGGGCTCTCTTTTTGGGGGACTAGCCCTGGACCAAGACGGAAGATATCCGAAAACTCTTATAAGATCTAAAAAACATACATATAAAAGAACAAAACTGTCTTTGTGGAAATGCTCAGGTTTTCAAACCTAAATACTTGTAATAATCCGACGCTGTGCCGAGAATGAACACTTCGTAACTCGAACCGAAACTGAATCTCAAAGCCCCGCGATGCAGTGCTTGCAGAAATGCCGAGTCCACTAGACCAAAAACACTACAAACCGCAGTCAAAAGCGAAAAATCGTGAGATCCGGTCTGAGCGAAAGAAATAACCACTACAGTGGGAACCGTGGTTTCGTGCTTCACGGTGTTTTTGGTGTGTTGCGTGGAAGCAAATGAACGGACTTGGTTTAAATCAGCAGCCGAGGCGACGTGAATACGAATTGATGCACTTTCCACTCGCTGCTTCATCTCTTTTTCGTAGGCAAGTCGCGTCAGGTTGACGGATTTTTTCAAATTCGGCTCGTTGGCTAACCTATTGGAATCAAGTTTCGTTCAATTGAGCTATCAATTCATAATCGAACATTTCTTTCCGATGCTCGAAGCTTCAACCGTTCCAGTGAGGTCGGTCTCGATTCTCCCTAAATGAGAGCTTAGTAGACCTAATATGCCAACATCGCCCAACCGGACGCAAACAAACACAATAAGAAACTTAATCGCGATTATCAATAAATTAGCGTTTCCCAAGTACAATGCGTCGAAATTGAATCGAAATACGTGTCTTACAAAATGCAAATACTGTAAAATAAAATCAGAATCCCAAGGCAGTTGAAGAAAAAATTAGGCAATCTTTCGTTTGATGACAGAAAAAGGAACGAAATTATTTGTACAGGAAAGAAGGGGGAATTTTACTCACAGGTGAACAGAACGAGGTACGGAATAAAACTTCGTATCTCTTTCGGAAGTCGTTGTAGGCGTTACCAAAATACGCGAATCGGCAGGAATTAACACTTCCCGATCTATCCGTTCATCCCCTAACCATCCTTCTTCCGGTCTGCAATTGAACACAAGAAACAATGCCTTCAACTCCAACAAAGTGAAAGTACACACACGACATGCTCATGATCACGGCCCAAAAATAATAAATTCTACAAGTTGTACTTGAATTTTCATGAGCTTGAAAAAAAGTCTGGAAATGAACCTTTTCATCTCAAATCAACGAACAAAATGCAAACCAAGTTAATTCAAGTTCAACATCAGATGATTTTTCTGGGAGATCAATTCTGTCCGAAGACCGTGCAGCCATAAGTTCTTTGCATGCACTACCAATGATAATTATTAGAGAACATACCCTAATAAAGCAATACTTACTGCAAGTTCGTAAGGGAAAATACATTTTTTGCATGCATAAGATGAAAACATGTTTTAAAACCTTTTACGACAGCAGATGTGCATCTTCCCTTTCATTTCTCCCATGTATATTTCGCGTTTCAACATGAAACCAAGCCCAGGGAACGTTTCCACACGGTATGATGCATTTCCATCACCAGCTAAGCCCTCAAAACCTGATTCCATGAAAAAGAAACTTTTGATGACACAATGAAAGCGGAGGCTGTCATCACAGTTGAATGAAAACCCAAAGCAGATTAATTGATAAACATGATTGAAACAAAAAAGGCCCACAAAGCACGGAACGAAAATAAATGAGTCCTCACCAATCGGATTGAATGAAGATACAGCTAGCAATGAGTCATCTCTTAGTAGAACTTCGGCGTTTTCAATCATAAAGCTCAGGAATGCAGGAGAAAGCAAAGATCCCTCCTCCAAAAAAACCCCCACCTCCGCCTCAGGGTGCAAGTTCCAAGCCACCTCAAATGCTTCTTCATAAGCTTCTACAGTTGAAAATCACGATTCGAGTACAGGACTCAAAAATTAATCCCAGAGAAACGTTTTTTAAAAAATCAAACAAAAAGCTGAATCCCAATCGTTACAGTTTTGAAGATCCTATTCCTTACATCCACGTGCAGCAACCTGAAGTCACAATCCATGGTTACTTTCGACTATTTCGAATCAGGATACATTTTGTTACGTTCTTTTGGAGTGAGGGTTAATTAGAAAACAGCGCATCGGTTTTGAATATGCTAACAGATTGTTAGTTTTGTGTTGACTGAACATCAAGTAAGGTTAGTTAGACATTAGATCGAGTTCTTTGATGATAAATTACCTTAGTTACGTGTTCGGTTGCCATGCTTTCATCACGGAGGAATTAAAATAAAATACGGAGCGGGGGCAGCTTGAATATTTGAGAAGCTAAAGCAACTTCCAGCTCATAATTTACGAAATTTCTATTACGCTTCTCAGCCCAGAGAACATGCAAATGAAGACAAGTAGGTGAGAAAATGTTATTTTCTGAGATTAAAAGAAAAACCTCTTTCGACGTACAAAGAATACGTATTTACCCCAGAGTTCAGCAGCCATTCCAGGAACGGCTAAAAATCCAAAAATCCCAGCAATTTCCGTGAACGGCTGCTTCTCCTTTCGCGGGACCAAAACGATAACATTTTCAGATCGTAGTCCAATTTGAAATACTAGCGTCTTGAGTGTATCCGCCAATTTTACGCCGTCTCCACGGGCAATCACGACAATCGGACAACTGAGAGCAGGTGATGCCCTAAGGGCCTTAAATGCGGCCACTTCGCCGCGCTTCGGAGGCTTCAACGGTAGGGAAAGCAGGGGATCTCTTCGAATCGTCACGTTGCACAGAGACTCGTACCCAGAATGCTTCGCGCAAAATTCATTGAGGAGACGTTGCTCGTGAAGGACAGGGTCGGCGGAAATGGGAAGCCCAGGGACTGGAAAACAACAGTCAAATATATCGAACATAAATATGCCAGGACAAGGTAGCCAGGAGATATTGAACCGATCAGAAATAATGCACATGTAGACTCTTCAAAAATACTTCCGGAATAAAACAATAATTTTTATACAGTAAAAACAATATCATTTCATGACAGCTGATCACTGTACATAAGAATATGGTCGCCTTGGGACTAAAACGAGAATGATTCGCATCAAAATTATAGACGTGGACTAAATTCTTGCATGAGATTGCTCTGTATTTAAAAAGCCATATGGACTGAAATTTAAGTCCAAGTAAGATGTTCTGCCTGGCAATTTATATGAAACTACTGTACCACTAGTTTTTGTGCCGAAGTTGAAAAATTTCAAAGCGCAATGGGCGAACACTTCGCATAATTAACATCTGAATTCCAAACTGCACCGAGCTTAAATCAATAACAATTGAAATAATCGACGTTTCCACCCGATGAAATAAAAAGATGTCCCAATAGCATTTTAATTTTAGAGGCAATACTTGAAATGAAAATAAAAATTCAGCCACAGGACAATGAGCGAATTTCCAGTTATTTAGTGAATATTTGAAAGGAAATATCTATGGGGCCACTTGATTGAAAACTTGCGGTGGAGTGGATAGAAAGTGTAACCTCGTGAAGATTCATGCAGAGTTTGCGCACAGCATCCTAATATATTTCACGAATAAGCAGGTTTAAAGAAAAACTTTGCATTTTGAAAATTATTACTGCTACTGTACAACGATTGCTTCACTTCGACACAACAACTTTTTTCAGAAACGCAATTGTTTTGCATCTACATAAAACCAAGTAACTTACAATCATGCGAAAGACAGAATCGCTCATCCAAAGGGCCTCCCCAGTTTTTCCCATCGCCAACGCCAATTTTTTCATAGGGACTAATGCCGTCCATGCCCTTCCTGCCTATTAGGTACCAATGGGAACGAAAGCCCAAGTTGTGGATCTGCGAACTGCCGAAATTATCAGCAATTGCTGTCTGTGAAGAAATCAGCATAAGCCGTTGAAATTGTGACACAACCTCATTAAAAATATACTGTACATTACTTAAGCGACAATAAAAAAGCACGGCGAAACTTAGTGGAAGACGAGGAAATTCTTAGTTCGATTAATTTAATTTCAACTTCATCTTCTATCGTACCGTTGCCACAAAATTCCCACGGATAATTCAATTTGGGTATCTTCAATACACGCCTCGGCAATAAATATACAGTACTGTATTGTAGTACGAAATTTGGCAAAAATCAAGAAATCTCAAGCAGGAAACAAATCAACACAATTTTGCCGAACGACTCCACGTTTTAAATAGCGTATATTTCCCACACGATATTTGAGAAAAAAAGCAGGCGCGTATATTACACAATTTAAAATATTGATTTTTAATGAAGTGCATCGAATGAATAAAATCTAATTAGAGGTTCGTTGAATTTTAATCATTTCACTTACAAGCCGTCATAACTTCGGCGAATATGAAAGAAAAAAATCAGGAATTATCGAGTTCAGAAGAAAATACAGTAAAATAATGCAAAAACGTGTCTTCCTTTCAGTTTAACATACTTCAAAGGATATCTATTGTATCTAGAGAGTAAAATATGTTTTGTGGCTCAGAAATAATCAAACGTAAGAATGCTTACAATGACATTAATTTGGAAATAATCCAGGAATGGTCGAAGACGCATCGTCAACACTTAGCTGTTGTTCTTAGTCTAAATGAAAAGTTAGCAGAATTGTCCGTGGAAATGTTTTATTTCGTATTTTAAAAGAATGACAATGCTTAATCCCAAGTAAAATAAAACTTAGCTCACTCCGTTTGGAGCCATTATTAAAACACGTTTGGTCGAAAAACAAAACTCCGTGTAAGTCCCTGAATCTTTCTCATTTCAAAGATTCAACCCCTTACTCTTTCAAGTTTCCAATGAGCTTCTTCTTTCACGCGAAATTGGAGAGCAACCTAATCTCACCTGAGCGGCTCGGGTCAAGTGCCGACTGGGCTCATCAAACGTGATGAAAATCGCAAGGGATCCATCCGCCACCAGCTTCAAGAACTTTTCGAGCTCCGCACTCGCAGCCACAGATTCGTAGGTGTCAAAATTGCGCACCGCAGTGACCCGCAATGACGCATCAGTTACAACAACGTTAATTCCACGTCCGGCCCCGTTCACGCCATCCTCCAAATGTGTCACACCAGCCAAACACACGCTCAACTTCCCCTTCTGCTTCCCGTGAGTGGAAACCCGGATTCCCTTGTAGCCCTCAGGGCATACTTGCTTCACACCGCAGTTCGGGATCACAGATCCGATCGTAGGTTCCTCGCGTAGTTGTTGCTACAATTGAAGTTACTGTATTGTGTATTATTTCGCAAAAAATTTACCATTAACTGTCATCTTCGAAGGACATACAGAGATGATCAGCAACTTGCTGAGGATCGATGTTTGATCAACGGATATCAGAGAAACTATGGAAACTAAAAATTCCAACTTCTGCTCAAATCAAAGTTCAATTGATTGAATTTCTTCTTCAATTGATTTTGAAATCAGATTCCAAGTTTTCATGATTTTTACGTACATTACTCTTGTCTAAGATCGAGCCAAAAATTTTCAGAATTGTCCAGTAAAAGCAGATTTTTAATTTATGCTTTGGCAATATTAAGAGATATTGTGGCAAGCCTCATGATTTCAAAGTTCATTCAAGGTGGACTGTTTGTTAAATTGATCTTTGCCAATTCATAATCTCAATATTCCGCTAATTTTTGAAACCGATGCTTGCAAGAAAAACTTACGAAAAGAGAGATATTTTGCAACTTCGAACAATTTCGCATTTTTTTCAGTAGATTTGAAGGAAATCACATCTGAAAAATGAGAGCAAGCTCGATCTCCATCAACTACTGCACTGCTGTTCGCATGGTTTTCAAACGAAACAAGTTACTCTCCTAGATTATCTTTCTGCTGCAGTCACCCCATGAAAATAATCGTAGTTAACTGAGGCAATTAATGATATACAGTATTTTAATAAGATCTATAGAATTGAAGCCACCCTGAATGGGAAAATCCTAAAAAGAACTGGGAAAATTCTTCCGGAAGGGGTTCATGATTTTCTAGCATTTACTACATCAAGCAAAAAAAAAGTGCAATAACTGCATAAAAAGGGGAACTCGTGAGAAATTAATAAAAATCGGCGAACTTCCGAATATTGCGAGGCTTTCCAGGACGGTCTCATTCGGCTGATTGCAGTTCGGTGTAATGAAAAATCATCATACAATAGCTCGGCATGAATCCGTTCTCCAAAAACATGTTCTTACCGATAAAGGAGTAGTCAACGGCAAGTTTTCCGTAGAAGCTACTATATGGATAAAATCATTCGGATCCACAGCAACCGGTGTTTCTAGACCAATGCTCGATCGCAACCGAGCTCCGTAATACGATAACGAGCTTTGCAACGCGCAATAAACTATCAACACACACGAAGCAATCGCATTTAGCACGCAAAGCGCGCGCGCGAAGTTTCGCACTCTCCCCATCCGACCCCGAAACGAGTTTCCTCGAATGAAACGTTCACATCTTTCCCACAGTCCGTACTTCTGAGAAAAACACGAAAAATTGCGTTTGTGTGGGAACAATATAAAACCATGCGTGTGTTGCAAACAGCAAAAAAAATGAAAAAACGTAAATCGTTGAATTCGCACGGAAATAAATTCAAAGCAGGATTTCATCCCGTAACCGAAAAAATAAACAAAACCCGCTTTTTCATTTCATTTCTCTGAGGAATTGACCCTCAAAGCACCAACACCGGAAAGTTTAATTAAGACACAAAAATCACAGCGGTAAGTTTAAATTTTTGCTTTACGCATTGAACAATCGAAATATGGTAAAACGATCACCTGGCTGACACATGAAAAGGCTCGAAAAATACTGCATGCTCAAAAGCTCGTTCAAGGCAGGAATACTGTACCTTGCTTTCTCCGCAATTAAATCTATTCAAATGTTCCACAGGATATGATTCAAGGGTAACCAGAGAAACGGATACGCGCGAAAAGCAATTGGTTGGAAAATACAAAAATAATCCCACAGGAACCGCACGTAAAAAAAAATACACGTACTACAGTATATGTACTGTATTCTTATTGACATGCGGTTCATCGACTTTAAAGAATCGCCACAAAAATTTCATTTGCAAAAATTGAACATATTTTTTACTGGGTAGAATTTTTAGCCGCTTTTCCAACTGAATGAATTTCTCTTCACACTATCCTTGAGCTTGCTTGGAATGATTTTAATAATTGAAGAAAGAAAAATCAACCCGAAAATATTTCCCTCTCGAGCGTTCGACGACGTATGCTATAAACGACTAATTTCTGCGTGAATCCTCGTACTCCGGAAAGATATTCTCATCATATCTCGCACTTACACTTATGAAATATCACGGTAAAATATTTCATAAACGCTTTCGGGAAGGTGCGTGGCCCAGAATACACGACTGGCATAATAAAACGAAGCAGGTACGTATCTCGGACGTGGTCGCTTGCTGAAAAGTGCATCTTCGACAGCATCTAAAACCGGCTGCACATTCGTATCACCACCTATATTATTAAGAATTATAATTACACGATGAACATGGAGGACTTTCTCTAGTATTTCATGCGGACAAGTCCGACACTGTTCCAGAAACTAATTCCAAGGAATGACTATTCACGCGATTCTCATTCATGATTATAAAAAAAAAAAACAGGAAAACTGAAGTCTACCACTCCAGCTCGTCTACAACTGTCGAAAGGATTTCAAGGTTCCAAAATGAGTTCTAGATTAATATTTATTCTGTAACTATGACATGGACAGCCCAGTATTTCACATGTATTATACTCTAGAAGAAAACGAACATACCTGTGATGTATTTCATCATCATCTCGACACGCCCATCAAAATACTTGCGAGAATAATCTTGTCGCACTCGTTCGGGCATTTGCTTCCACATTACATCGGCTGCACTTTTCACGGACTCCGGAGAAAATATGCTTGTCCCTGTTGAGTCGGACAAAACGTATCGAATCGAAAAAAATACTGTAATGTAATAATCATTACGCGTCGAAGCTAATTCAATCCTCGCTCACGGGAAGACAATTTAGAAACTCAATGAAAAATGATTTAAAAAAATAACTACTTCGCAACATTATAATAAGATGCCGGGCTATTTCGAAAAGTTTCAGAAGTCAGAACAGCGCAAATCCGAAATTTAATTCTAGAAGTATTAAAAGATGTGTTCAGTATTACCATAAAAAGGAAACACAACACATCAATAACTTTTACATGACGTGAAGTTGTTTAGAGGTCAGAATTTCTAATTTTACGGGACTGCAAATAACGGCGCCCAGTTTTTGGAAATCCAGGAAGTATTTCGAGGACCACCGACCTGGTACTTGCGCGATGAATTACAGTATTTCTGCAGGGAAAAAAAAACGGAAATTAAAAAAGTGAGAAACCTTTCGTGATCAAAAAATTGAAAATTCCTATCTATCTTGACTTTTCAAGCGAAAAGAATACCATGCTCAACAAGACTGTGAAGACTGTACCATGCTCAACAAGACTGTGAAGACTGTACCATGCTCAACAACAAGTGAACCATTCAACTTCGTATAGAAACGAAGAATAATTTTTACAATTTTTCCTTTGTATTCCGTACCCAAGGAATTTTTTTTTGCACGAATACTGGTTTTCACCAGTACAGTAACCGTTTTCTTATTTCTGCACGCGCTCATCCGTTCGAATCTTTTCACATAATTTAACGCTCTTTATAGAATTTCAAGCAACAAACCTGCTATATAATTTCCAGGCTCTATAACGGAAACGCCAACTTTCCACGGTTTCATTTCATAACGTAAACTGTCCGAAAATGCTTCCACAGCAAACTTCGTGATGCAGTACGGTGAGCGCAAGGGATAACCCATTCGGCCGAGCATGCTGCCAATATTCACAACGCGTCCTAATGCGATATCCGTAATACAGATCAATTAGATCAATCTCGTTTCAATGAGATTCTATCAAAATTTCAAGGAATTGATGCAATGAACACAAACCTTGCGATTTACGAATAAGAGGAAGCGAAGCTTTCGTAACACGGATTGTGCCCCAAACATTGATGTCCATCAGACGCTGGTATACTTCAACAGGAACCCATTCCACTTCCCCGAACGTGCCAATCCCAGCGTTGTTCACAATGCCCCAAAGTTCTACAGATGAATAATAGCTGGTGATAAATAATTTTTTCAACTCAGGGAATAAAGAAAGTAACTGAGGATTGATTAAGGCCTCGTCGATCTCAACAGTGGTTCGGAGCAAAAAGGTGAGTACCAAGAAATTACATTCAAATACGCTAGGCTGACAAACCTGCAAAATACGAGGGGTTACACGGTTCCACGCGGAATCGCTTCGTCGCGGACTTGAAATGATCCGAACACCAGGGATTTTTCAGAACATTTTTCTCATGTTCACTAGTTACTAGAGGGTAGGCAAACACCTTCTCAACGCAATAACCACCAATTTGTACGCACTTTTCAGTCCTTTTGATCCATGTGTTGAGACAGGCGTTGAAATTTTCACTTTTTAAATTTTGAAGCGAACCCAGAACAGCAGCAAAAAACTTATCCCAGGTTTTGACTAATTGGCCTCTCATAAAAGCTTCTTCAGCATTGGAAAGAGCCAAAATTCAGGGGAGTAGGGTGGTGGGGTCAACACATTCAGGCCCGATTCATCTAGAAAGTCGTTTACTTGAAATGATCTGAAAACCAGGGATTTTTCAAAACATGTTTCTCAAGTTCACCTTTCAATGTAATCGCCGCCAATTCGCTCACACTTCTCAGCCCTTTTGATCCATGTGTCAAAACAGAAGCAGTATACTGTATAGTAGTTCCACCATGACAATGACCCTGCCCACAAGGCGAAGTCCAGGCCCGATTCATCTAGGGACTAGAATTAAATGAATCGGGCCTGAATGTCTTGACCCCAAGGCAAAGTCCACCGTCCATTGCCTAGATTCTAGGCAATGGACGGTGGACTTCGCCTTGTGGGCAGGGTCATTGTCATGGTGGAACTACTATACAGTATACTGCTTCTGTTTTGACACATGGATCAAAAGGGCTGAGAAGTGTGAGCGAATTGGCGGCGATTAAATTGAAAGGTGAACTTGAGGAAAAATGTTTTGAAAAATCCCTGGTTTTCAGATCATTTCAAGTCCGCGCCGAAACGAGTCCGCGCGGAACCGTGTAAAACACAGTACACAAGTACCGGTATTTGACGCCTGGAAAGAAAGGGGAACATCTTGAGCAGTTCAGGGCAAAATCTAGAGAGATTTCCTCACTACTGACTCAGCTGAAAATGTGGTGAAAATTTACCATTTTTCAGATTTTACGAACCCTCATTGTTCTCATTTACAAACAATAAAACATGTCCTCGGGTATCAGTCGGGAAGATGTCAAAAATGTTCCCATTCTTCTCCCGGACAACAAAAACTAAATACTAAATGCTGTCAAAATAAAAACTATCTTTCCCCCCTATTCCTTGGTGTTTCAGGCAACCTTTTGATACAAAATTCCGTCATGCCTTCACAACTCCTTGAGATTTAGTGTACAGTAAACGACTTCCTGGGTCTAGTGGAGCTATTCAATTACAGTATGAACAGAAATCTTGAATTAGAACTCAAAACAAACAATCACACACCATTTTTGGTATCATTAGATATTGCTTCAATTTCTTGGAGACAGTTCGACACTTGCTTATCATCTGCAACATCAAGCTGAAGAACGTGGAGGTTCGGACGCTTTAATGCAGCCAACTCTCGGGCTCCATCACCTTTTTTCTCCTTCAGCAAACATCCAGCAAATACGCAGCAACCCTAACAAGAACGCTGAGGGCATAAATACGTGGGCAATTCGCACTGAATCCGAGTATGAGGGTTGTTTGGTTTCCTTGCAAAGAAAAGTACCGTAGTAACTTCTTATCACGGTCTCGACTCGTTCGATGGTCAGATTCGACGGGAGAATAATTTTTCTCCCATTTCCAAATTTTCACTGGAGTTCGGAAAAGGATTGAAAATTGGAAGAAGTGACCCTCATCCATTCCCATACACATTTTGCGACGTCGTAGAGCTGATTTTTAATGAAATCTGGCAAAATTGTGTTTTCAAGAATAAGAAATCGGCCGGTATTTCCTAAAAAATTCGAATAAACCACGGAAGGATCTAGTCAATGAAAGCTTACTACCGTAGAACTATTAAAAATAACTGCAGATCTTTTCTCTACCTGCCTCCGCACATGAAACCAAGCAATCCTTGTAAAATAAGGAATATATCTGACAAAAAATGCTCACATTTCCATTCAAATACTTAGCTAGAGCAAGTCCGAAGCCCGAGTCACAGCCGGTGATAAGAACAGCTTTTCCTGCCTGAGGAACCTAAAAATAGAGCATAATACAGCAATAATTATTTTTAAGACTACAGTGATTGAAAAATCAGAGGATGTCCAACCTTTGGCAGATATTTCCGAAGGCGTAACGCAAGATTTGAGTTGAACAAAGACATCACGCAAACACCTTAGATGTCGGCCAAAGGGAAAATAATACTCTAAAGGAAATCATTCGCAATCATCTCACACCGGTAAAAATATTGAAAACTCGATAAAAAAAAATCCAAGAACGAAGATAATCCACAAGCCCTTTAATGTACTTAATTGCCCGCGCATTAAGAGCATTTCAACATCTCGTAACCCTTTGAAAATGTTTTCTACTCATAAGTATTCATTTCGTCAATTACAATTCGTGAAAAATTAAAAAAATGTTCAACGTGAAATATGATAAAAATGACACGCACAGCCGGTTTTCCGAAAAATTGAACGCAGAATTTAAAAGAAAATGCTAATACCGTAGAAGGTGTGCAGTTACGCGAAAATTCGAAGCGCGATAAGGCGAAAAATCAGCAAATCCTTCAATTGCTGAATAAGGTGGTTCATTCGGTGGGTTTCCTGCGGATTCAGTATCCTGAAAAACGTATATTTGAAGATGTACGTTCTGATCTGCTTGGCTTCCGGTAGACTTCGAGAGAAACGCACGAATATACAGTAGATGCAAGCTGAGATGGAATTTTTTTTGCCACACAAACAGTATAGATCACAGGCTTCGTTTTCGTATTCAACCACATCACCTCAAAGACTCCATAACATAGAGCAGAACGCTTTTTCTTCCTCGGGATCTAGTCAACAGTGATGCTCGTCAGCATCATTATTGATTATTAAGCGCGCAGGATGAAAACCACGATGACATGCTTGTATCATTTTCGACGTCAACATAAGCTCAAAGGACTAGAAGTGCGTTAACGATCACGGCGAAAAATTCACAAAATATAATAATTAGAACCGTACAAATAAGAATAACTTTTATTCAAGATATGACAATTTCTGAGAGGACAGCCTGAAATGGGAGAGAAAACATTCTCGTACTGGATGGGTTGGAAAAGCTTCGAAAAATCTTAGTTACAAAAAATTCATTGAAAAATTCCAACAGTTCGCAAGGCAAGTGAGATCTCAATTTGACCACGAGTCCGTAATTATGCTTTTAAAAACAAACCTTTCCAAAAATTCCATTTTTTTACTAATCCCCAAAAACTTTGCTTCAGGGAGAGCTTTGGAAATACTGCAGATGTTTTCTTCTTGAAAAAGTAACAGCAATAATTATTGTTTTTTAAAGAAATAATCCATGGAAAAATAGCGAGAACATCAACATCGGCGAAAAAGGTTGTCATATTCCTCCACGCCAATCAAACAAAACGGACTATTTCTGAGGACTAGAAACAGTAGAAATATATTGCACCACATAATACGGTATATTCGTACCCGAATGTTCAAACTCGCAAAAACGCGAAGAAATCGGTTCACTATCCAGTTCGTCATGCAGGAATATGTTCCGGACTAGTCCCATTTCTCGCAGAATTTTCCCGCTATCACTTGGCTCTGTAACCAAGGACGGCCAAAAGCTCTTCGAGGGTGTTCCACAATAAGCGCAAATCCTCAGTTTCTATCATTCTATGGTAACCATCCTTCCTGAGATAGAAGTCTATCTGAGCTTCCGGGAAAACCATTTGCACGTCTTTCATCATTTGCTTGAACGGCATTTCAATGTCCTACATTCCAATGGTTCAAAAAAGAAACGTAATAGAGAATTGAACATACAACTGAAAATTGTAGAAGAAAAACATAATTACGACAAAGACTTAACGTAGAAGTAATTAGTAGAGTGGTACAAGATTCAGAATTTCACTTAATTCTCACAAAAATTGAGAAAAACAGAAAATTCAATTTAATAGAAGGGCGTGATAAAAACTAACGAAAGAGATTCAGTAAATTTACACGTGACATTCAAGAAAAGCAAGTCCTTTTATACCAAAGACTTTCAAAATAGCAAGCACATAGCTGTATATATCCATGAAAATGCTTGATCAGTTTTTAGAATGAACATCTAGGACGGGGCCCCTAGACAAAATAAGTCTTCTGTCTTCAAATTACAAACTGTAAAGGACAGCTGCCCAAACAAAAACGCGTAAATAACGGTAATTTTTCTAAAACCCCGATTGATATTATCCGTGCACCGTAAGAATACCGTTATGCAGAAGGTTCAGTTTTATAACAAGGATGGCCACATCGGTCATGCATGGAATAAATTGACATTATGGAAATAATTCAGTACCTTCATGCCATGGATGCATCTTATAGGGCCTGAATACTTCGGCATGTTTTTGTTACCAGGATGGATTTCCAATTCTCGACTTGAATCCGCAAGAAGCAGGCAAAACGGTATCTCACCGAACCAAGGGTGATTCACAACAACTGCTTCACCTCTGTCCAGTTTCTCCCGCATCTGAACAGGCAGAGCAAAAACGAACCGTTGGCAAAGATATGGTATTTTAATTTCAATGCGATAAAATGCACAACAAACCTCTGGCGTGGCCATGGATTCGAATTGTAGGTAATATCGATAGAGAAAATTGTAAGCCCCGCCAATTAACACGATTCCTTTCACTCGATCGAAAAAATCCAGCGCGCCTAACGTGGACAGCTGAGAACTTCATCATCAGCAGAATATCAGACAAATTTGATTGGAATTCCTCACCCAAGTACCCATTGAAGACGCTACAATAATTAGAGGGCCTTCAGTGCATGCTTCCATTACTTTTCGAGCGTCTTCAACCCAGAAATGAAACGGAGTTTTTTCGAAGCCCAAACCAGGGCTGTCACCAACATTTTCACATTCATACCTTTAATGGAAATATTGTGAAGTACTGCACACACGTCACATTCCCGAGACTGATTCGCACACAGTACAACTCTCGAGTTTAAGAAGAACAAAAAAATACTCACGTCACGTAGGACAGACGTTTATCGGCACAGAACTGAGCAAGTAGGGTTGACTTCTTCCCCCACTTCTGGTTCATGAAGCCCGGATGATACACAATGGTAGGCATATCTCTGCAACCCAAAATTCGAGCGTACGACACGGCTCGTTTCTCGGCGACTTTCACAAGCCGGGAGGAAGGTCGCACGTACGAATGTAACTTACGTTGACACATAGTCACGAAATACGAATAAACACGTCTCATCTTAAATGCGCCGCGATCCTAACTAAAACAACCCTCTGAAAAAGGATTCATCCAAAGAGATATTCGTAATTGCTTCTGACTAAATGCGCGAAAAAAGTCAGTCTCAATTGGAACCACCGGTAGAAGAAATCTGGGGAATCACATGTATTGATCACACCGCTGCACGGAATAGATCGCAACACGTGCACACTCATCGCTGATCTAATTACTGTACGCGATAATGCACGAAGCTGTACAGTAGAATCGCACTGTTCAGTGTATTGTACAGTACTTCATTGAAGGCTGACTCAAAGACAGGGCAGTACTGTACAATATTGTAAATGAATCACGTTTACCTGTAGACAGATGTCACTTCTGCGGTGAACTAAAAAATTAGTGAAGTACAGTACTGTACTGTATATACTATGGGGGAATAGCATGCTGACGAGCACCGAGTTCGTTGGTTCGTGAAGCCCCTTGTTGCTGTACGTAGTGTACGACACTGAGGTTCGGCATGAAGCTATTCCAGTCATCTACCTCCGTCAAATGGCTAATCTGGTGACTTACGGCGGTATTGCCCAAATTGCCGCAGAATTATGTTTTCAATTGCTAATGTGAGTCTCGCAATGTTTAAATTTGGAATTGGGTGTTATGGTGTCATTCTATTCTGGCTCCACGTAAGATTTTGAAACGGTGCGGAAGCCTTATACTACGTTGCGTCGCCCGCTGAGCGGAGTCGCTTTCCTAAATTATGTTTCGGTCGCTGTATCGTCGAGAAGTGGGACGAATCACGGCCGATATTTTTGAAATGAATGAGACGGAACGACGAGTCCGGGAAGACTTCCATCTCAGTAAATTCAAAGATGTTGAACCCGTTCCGGATTGTCTAGTCTTATCAATGGACGTGGAGATGTCGGAAGGACGATAGTAAGCCCACAAATCAATGTGCTTGTGTGAATGATTAAAGTGTACATTTATTTCAGCCTCTTGTCTGGTAGCTCTGCTGGAGCGCTTTTCATTCACGATATGCGTGCGCAACCGGCAGTGCCGCATACGTGCAAACTTTTGGCTGTGAAGAATTCCTGTAAACCTTTGAGCTGTGTTTCCTGGTATCCTGTGGATACCGGCATGTTCTTCTCATCGTCGGCAGACGGTGTCTTTCGTATATGGGATGCTAATCGTATGAAGGAGGTGGAACGTATCCATGTGTCTTTGGGTGCCCTATTTCAGCATCATAGTCCACTTTCTGAAGTACATCACAATTTGGTTGCTGGTGAAGATCTGAAGGAGTATTCGAAAGATTTTCGTAATAAACATGGAATGCTGATTTCTAGTTGCTGGATCTGCCCCGGAAGTCAAGATTGTGGATACGCGCACAGGATCTATGTGTCAAGAGTTGCGAAGAGGTCATGGTCTTTCTCAGGTGACATCTTGCCAGTGGAGTCCGCGGGCCAATTGTCTCCTTGTGACGGGCGGAAGTGACGGTAGTGTTACCGTGTGGGACGTGCGTTCCGGCAAGTCCCGATTGGGTTCTATCAAGCGAGACTCAGAGAAAAATGCCATGAAAGGACGCGTTCAAACGTTAAGATTTTCCAGTGACGGCTTGAATTTAGTTGGCTATAGCGAGTGCGACGATAAAATTCGCGTTTGGGACCCATTACGATTCATTCCGCTCGAAACAATTCGTGTATCCAAAGCAAAGCAGCACCAAAGATTTCGAAGTTCTGCTTTGGCTATTGTACCATCAGCAAATGATGAACTTCTGTTCTATCCGAGCGGGAAAGTGATAAATATTTCCACCATGCAGTCCCCGACCGACGACGACGCGAAAAGTAAAACTTTATCCAGACTGAAGATGCATTTTTCTGACGTTACCAGTTTATGTTTTAATCCATTCGAAAACGAACTGTATTCTGCGGGTGGTGATTCCAATGTTCTTGTGTGGTCGGCATATAAGCACATCATCGAAGACTTGAATGAGGGAAGAGAGGAAAGACGATTACGGGAAGAGAACCGAGGAGTCCGGAGGCAAAATGACCCTCCTGTACCTAGCATCGTGGATGACGAATTCGATCTGGGCGAAGATGCGTGGAGTGATGACGATTAGCGCGAACCACCTTGTGTCGCATTGTTCACACATTGGCTGTGCTTGGCCTGTTACTGATTGTTTGATTCATTGTTCATTCCGCAGTAAGACGGTTGATTTGAGATTTTGCGGCTGTCAGATTGACTTCTTGTTTTAAATTTTGAGAATCTACCTTCGTAGGTTTGTGAAAGTGTAAAATCCACCCGAACTCAAGATGTCGGATCACGAAGTGTGAGTACATTTGAAGCACGCTGTATTCGCACGGGTAGTGATACCGAGCAATGCATTTTGCAGAGACGAAGTAGCTACCGTTATGGCCGGTGGCCCGATGGATGTAGACTCAGCCCTGCAGGAGGTGTTGAAGACTGCGCTGATCCATGATGGCCTTGCCCGTGGAATCAGAGTTGCCGTCAAGGCTCTTGACAAGTGAGAATTGTGTTTTACGAATCGAGTTCATGGTACATTTCAACGCTTCATTTTTGAATCAATTATTTTTGTTTTCGTCCCAGCGGGTACTGGGAAGTAGTGTACTTCAACAAAAATACAGTATCTGGAGTGTGCTTACGCGTAGGTACCATCAGAAATTACAATGGTACTTATCAAAAATTACAATGAATTAATACCGCGTGGAGATTTGTGTAACGAACCTGATTCGTTGCGGCGGCTGGTTTTTTGCTCAAGGCGTTTGTTACTTTAGGTATTCCTGAATTTGGAATGACCTTCAATCTTGTGATTTGCTGACTAGAGCGCAGTGCATGTCCATCTCCATGCAGGTGTGAATTTTCAAGTTTGTTTTCGCAGGAGACAGGCGCTTCTTTGCATTTTGGCAAATAGCTGCGATGAACCAGCGTACACGAAATTAGTAACGGCGCTCTGTTCAGAGCACGGCATTCCGTTGCTCACTGTAGACTCCAATAAAATGCTAGGGGAATGGTCTGGTCTCTGCAAGATCGACAAAGAAGGCAAGGCCCGTAAAGTTGTTGGAAGCTCTTGCGTCGTGATCACCGTAAGTCTGATTGGATTTTAAGAAGGAAAACATGTTTTATATTTAGCCCAAGATTTTAGAAAGTAGTACCTTATTTCATATTCATTCTATTTTTCGTTTCAGGATTGGGGCAAGGAAACCCCTGCACTCGATTTTCTCAAGGAGCACATGCGGCAGAAAGGTCTTTCTACTGCGGATTGATTGCCTTTATACGGGTGTCATTTTCCGTGCGAAGGAATGAAAGTGACTGATTGAAATTTGTCCCATTTCTTATTCTAATAATTAATGTAGATTTCCGAGATTTATCGTTTGATTTTTAATTCCACAGGGTATTCTGGGACATGGTGTCGACAGTGCGAGCGGATTTGTTGTTTTTTCTTTTAATTCTTATTTAAAGGAGTTGAGTTTATTCAGCATTCGTTGGAAAAGGTAACCAACAGAAAGGTATTTCACCTCCCCATTAACTATACACTGATTCGTTTAGCCTTGATATGTCCTTTTATTTTTTTATTTAGTTACATGAAACGAAAATTTTGTTGCTTTAATTTGTTATCCAACAGAACGAGTTCATCTATACGCACGTCGGACGATGCCCTCTGAACTGCATCTTATTTGGAGTCAAAGCCGCATTTTCGCATTTATTTTTCTCTTGCCGTACAAAAGCATTTTTTGTGTCCATAGCAAACTTGGAAAAACTCAATTTAGAGTTTAACAATTAACTGCCTACAACTATCAACGCATCCGCCTACAAGAAGAAATCCAAGAACGAAATTCTGCAAAAAGTACTGTTCTGTTTTTAGATGACATTCTGAGTTGAATCTCGAAATCGCGCCTTATCAAGGGCAGGACATAACTTGTCCCTCAAATGCGGGCTTGGTGGCGGATTTCGTATGTACACGTGTGTGTTTGTGGTAAGGTGTATGATCACCAACAATAACACGAACGCTTTTTATAGAAAGAGTAATATAGATTTACTGTATATACTGTACTGTATTAGTACTGTAAATAGAATCGACGAAAATCGATCTGGCAATCATCGGTAATTCGTATTCCGCATTGTTATTGCTTGTTCGTTTGTATGTTTCTGGTTTACGATCGCTGTAACGAAAATATTTCTTCTTTTTTGCAATAGATTTTTTTGTGGTTTGCTGATCAAGAATATTCGAACGATTCGGAGTACTCTGAGTGAGTGTATATTACTAACAGGGAAGAAATGTCAGGTCCTGATTATTAAGTGAATTTTGTATGTTACAGGGAAGTGTGATCAAAATGAGTGGGCACACAATTATGCTGATACAATCCGGAAATCGACTTGACACCCGTTCTTACTCCGACTTCGACTCGTTGACTGAGTGTCTGGAAGGAATTTGTCGGCTTTACGAAGAGCACCTGAAGCGTAGTAGTCCTACGACGCCGAGCATCACTTATGACATCTCTCAGCTTTTCGACTTCATCGACGATCTGCCGGACTTGTCCGTGTTAGCATACAACAGTGAACACAATATGTACGCCCCTTACGGGAAAGATTGGGTGAAGGAGAAGATTTATGTCATGCTCCGTCGTCAAGCGGCAACGAAATGAGTTTTCGATGTACGATTGTTTTTCACTCTTCGTGGTCGATTGTCATTGTTTAATGCACTGTTGAATTTTTTTCCTATGCTTTTCTGTTGCAACGCGCGAACATTTTAATTACTGAATTCACGCCAATACAAGACGCACCTCTATTTTCATGCCTCTTCGTGTCAAGGAAAAAGTAAGGTCTAAACTGTTTTCTCACTGGCAATCTGGAAATCTGTTCGACAGCTTTTTAGCCATTTTGAAGGTGTCAAAACGTAGAAATGGTTATGTATTGCGTATCACATGGAAAGCAGAGCGTACGACCACATGCATGCGTATGCAGTAATGGACTGAAACGCCTGGTACAACAATTTTCCTTCAACTACTCTGAGTTACAAAAACATGCGTATGCAACTGGTTTCAATTTGAATTTTGCATCTTACGATTTTTTAAATTTTGCTTGCGAAATTCTTCCTTTCAGTGACTGGATCGCATTAGTCGAGTAACCCTGTTCCATCGCGTAGTGTCCCAAAAGCATGAAGCGCAACAAAAATGGTTAAATGTTCAGGTCGGAACATATTTTTCGAACACGATGTAAAACAAATTTAAACTGCGAATTAGCTCACATCATTTTCATTTTGAAGGAAATCTACATATGAAGCAATGTTGTGTCCACCATGTCAATTCCAAAAAAAAAGATTTTTGGAAAAATTACTGCCGCACCTGAAAAGTTAATGTTCCTGTTCTCAGTTCAAAACACATTCAGTGATCTAACGATGTTTGCTAAAGTGAGGGAAGCAACAAATAAATTAGATCATGAATGAGTGAGTGCACGTATTGGACTACCTCGTAAACCAGTTTTGCGTGTAAATCCCTGGGTTAACAGGGACTCACATTATTTTTGAATGAATCAATATCGGAAATCGAGAGCGTCTTATATTCGCGTGAATTATTTACTTCGAACGTTTGCATCACAATTTAATCCTAGTTCAATGCCTATTGAATTTTCTTTTACTTTCTCGTTTAGATAAGTGTGTCAGAAAGTGCAGCAATCATGAGTGACGATGAGTTAGAAATGGATATCGACAGTGAAGATGAGAGTGTCGACGGTGGACCATCCGATGGTCGAAATGGTAACCTAGTGTTCCATTCACAAGCCGAACGAAGAGCTCATCACAACGCCTTGGAACGAAAACGACGAGACCATATCAAAGACAGTTTTAGTGGTCTCCGTGACGTTGTACCTTCGCTAAAGGGCGAAAAGTCATCACGAGCCCAAATCCTAAAGAAGGCCTCTGAATTCATCGCCTTCATGCGCGCGAGCAACGCGACCCATCAAAGCGATATCGAAGATCTGAAGCGGCAAAATGCGGAATTGGAGCTTCAAATCACCGCCATGGAGAAAATGAAAGCGGAACGGAATCGTATGGAAGCGAGAGAAGCGTTGAGAGGGAAACATTCGGGTTCAACTGCGTGAAGCGTGATCAGCGTTTCCGTTTTTTGGAGGGGACATCCTGGAATTGTGCGGTTAATGCTTCTACCCGGTTATCATTCTGTACCATTGTTGAGCGTCGCAATCAACAAGCTCAAGAATGGAGGGTTGTAAATGCAAATAATGAATGTGTTGAACTTTTTTACAAACATGAAGAACGAGGTCTTTTGATTTCAAACGTACGCTTTTTACTCATTTCCATCTAACTCTCGGTCCGCAGCGTAATAGACTAGCTTAGCTTGGAATTATTACCGACGGGGGTGTCCGTAAAGGGTCCTAGGATCTTTTGAGCGCGGTACTGTGAAGTTTATCAGCCTCGCTCGACACGACGTAGGGTTAGAGGAAAGTTCGCCGTTTCTCCACAAGTGCTGTACTTGATAGGGCAACTATTTTTGGCATTAAGACGTGCCCCTGTTGAATTGTCGTATCTTGGTGGAAAATTTATTTTCTTCGAAACAATACTGTATCATCGATTTTGTTGAAAATTATAATTTGAATCTTTTCGAGTCTGATTTCAAGGAGACCAGCAAAAAATTTTCAGTTGAGGAAGCGAACATTTTCGTTGGGGAAAATAAATAAATACTGTAAAGGATATTGTAAATTGTGACATTCTGAGCTTTTAATTATTTCGTGAAGGAGTACACAGGATGCTGGCCTTTTAGGCAAGGGTTCATTTTCCCTACTAGTCTTCCACTTTCTTTTTTTAATACAGTACATCAAGTTATATTTTATTGTGTGCTTTTTTCCTGCGTCATTAAAATACAGTAATAGCCGAAATGCCTCCAGAATATTCGAGCTATGGCGGTCTGAGAGGGAAAGCGATTGAGTTAGGGAGGACGAGATTAAATTTAAAGTGCGGATGCCGTAATGGTGACGCAAAATTTAAAAGGAAAGCATGGAAGATTTCACTGCGTTAACTCATTGCCTCATTAAAGAAGTCAGAAAATTCGCATGTCGTAGAATAATGTCATCATTCAGCACTTGATTTTCACTCGAAATTCGGAATACAGTACAGTACCCCCAAACTGCTGTAATTTTTGCGAAGCTCTAAGTCCAGAACGATGCCGGCAAGAAGAATTCTTTCGTTCCCACAGTCATAGACAAGTTTTCGTCTTCCAGGAAATGTAAAGGGTATTCCACCAAGTGTCCTCTTACTTGAGCCAGACGATTCTCTGCTTCAGCTGGATTGCATGTGAACAACGCTTCAGAGGCCACAATTAACTTGGCTTGCTGATGCTTTCTTATGCTGTCGGACGGAATGCAGTTGAAGACCTGTTGACGAAACCGGGATTTTTGGTGACTTTTTCCCCCTTTTTTTTGTGAAGTCGAACCTCCGCGTAAATTTTGGTGTTCCGTCGCGCGATGTTTTTAAACGCGTACCAAAATTCGTGGCTGATCGGATCGTCCAAAGGTATCGAATTGGCGAGTGGTCTCGAGTGAACAAAGCGATCGTCGAGATTCCATTTCGACGGCTTAAGCTAGTGACTCGGAAAGTGAAATCAGGTGTACGTGTTTAATGAACGGTAATAGCATTTTCAAATTGGTTACCTGTCCGAGGTGTTCCGCAAATAACTGTTTTCTCCAAGAAGATGCGAAGAGGCCCACGATAACTGGCTCTCCGTTCATTTTTGATGCGATTTCGTTTTCCTTATGCCTGAAGAAATATTTTTTTCACTGTCTTGACAGATCACACTTCTGGTCAGTTTTTTTTTTTTAAATATTCTTCCGATTAAACTTCTTACATTTTTATTAAGCCCGATTAAATATTTGTATTATTCCATTATATATTTTCAAGTGGAACTCAAAAGAAAATCATGCTTCACATGACATACATTTTGCCCAACAAAAGGCATCCAGGAACAAAAATGTTATTTATGCGGGGTACATACCACTGCCTTGTATGTTTTGAACCGGAATAACGCGGGTTGGTTTTATGGGAGAGAATCCGCTGTGTGGGTTAAATTCGGGTCCATTGTATCTTTGTAAGGGTGTTCGTTCCAAGAGTAACCATATTAACTTTATTTAGAACCACTACCACGCGCTCCCAGGTTTTTCAGTCTGAAATTTTGATAAAATCATATACCTGAGTAAGACGCATGCCCCATTTTTAGAGACTGAAACTGAAGTACCGGTAAAAATGAGAACCCCTAAATTTGAATTTACGCGTGAATCAAACGTAAATTAAACGATTTTTCATTTTTTCATTGAAATGAGCTACATTCCATTAGAATATTACAAAATTGTCCCATTAGAATCGAGGATAATTCATGTATAAAATTCTACATATTTTTGAATACAGTATTTTATTCAAATACTAGAAGGAGCGTTCCGACTGGATTCCTGTTTTCCTACTTGTCATCAATGACGAAGGCGATTTCAGAGTCCCTGCTCCCCAGCATGCTCCGATCGTTGATGTTCGCTGACCCACAAATGACCCTCTTGTCGTCGACAATCATGAGCTTAGAATGCACGTAAATCAGTTCAGTCGCTAGATCTCCGTTCAACAATCTCCCATGCGTCCTGAGTGAGAACACTCCGATGTACTTCTCCCACTGGATCCCCACGTCCGTGAGTCGCTGAAGCAAAGAATGCTTTCCCTTGGATAATGAATGCGCGTTCCAGTCGGTAATCATCCTCGCTGCGGTTCCCAGCACGTTTTCCCCTTTA